GCTGTCAGGGTGGTCACGTGAGCAGCCAGCTCAGCTTCCTTGGCCTGTGAGGCCGTCAGCTGCGACTTGGTCGAGTCGTGCGCCGCCTTCGTCTCCTTGTGCGCAGCAGCCTCCTTCTCGAGGTCCGACTTGGTGGCGGCGTGTGCCGCCTTCTCAGCCTCCACAGCGCTGGTGGTCCCCTTGTGGGCAGCGACCTCCTTCTCCAGGTCGGCCTTGACAGCAGCATGTGCCACGACCTCCTTCTCAAGATCCGCCTTGGACGTCGCGTGGGCTGCTACTTCCTTCTCCAGGTCCGCCTTGGAGGAAGCATGCGCCGTCTTCTCGTCCTCGAGCGATGATTCGGCGGCAGCAACAGCGCTGGCCTTGGTCGCAACCTCAGCCTGCGCCTTCTCCGTCTCAGACTTGGCCGCGGCAAGCGCAGCCTTGGCCTCGGCCAGTTCGGTCTGGGTGGCCGTGGCGCTGCTCTCGGCCGTGCTCAGCTTGCTTGTAAGGGTTTCAATCTGGGCCTTGAGATCGGCGACCTGGGCAGCAGATGCCTCGGTGGCGGATGTGGCAGAGGCGGCGGCAGCCTCAGAGGCCTTCTTCTCTGCCGCAACCTGCGCCTTGAGCTCCTCGACCTGAGCAGCGGCGGCAGAAGCACTGCTCTCGGCGGCGGCCAGATTGGTGTTGAGGGCTTCGATCTGGGCCTTGAGGTCGGCAATCTGGGCGGCAGAGGCCTCACTGGCCGACGTAGCCGATGCCGTAGCGACCGCGACGTTCTTCTTCTCGGCCTCGAGCTGCGCCTTGAGTTGGTCGACCTCAGCAGCAGCAGCGGCAGCAGCCGAAGCAGCAGCAGACGCAGCAGCTGTCTTGTCCGCCTCGGCAGCCTTGGCTGCTGCAGCGGCGGCCGCAGCCTTCTTCTCCGCCTCCTTCTCCGCCTCGGCCAGGCTTGCCATTGCCGCCGTCAGGTCGGTCGACAGCTGGGCCACGTTGGCCTCGAGCTCGGCAGTCTTCGAAGACGCAGCAGCGTGCGCCGCCTCGAGCTCCTGGTGTTTTGTCGTGGCTGTCGTCAGGTCCGTCTTGAGCTGCGTCACCTCGGCCTCGTGTGTCGACACCAGAGCATCGCGCTCGCTCCGGGCGGCGGCAGCCTCCTTCTGTGCGCTTTCGACATTTGCGGTGAGCTCGGCCTTCTCCTTGGCATGGCTCTCGGTCAGGGAAGTCGACGACGTCAACGATTCGTCCGCCTGTGCCTGCAGCTTCTTGATCTGCTCGTCTTTGCTGGTCGCCTGCTCCGTGGCCTCCTCGAGCTTCTTCTGAAGCTCCGTCAGCGTCGCCCGAAGCTCGTCCGCCTCACCCGTGTCGCGCGACAAATAGCTTCCCATGACGTGCCTGTTCGTGTGGTGGGTGTGTTTGTGTGGTTTGTGGTGAAGAAGATAACATGCGACTCCTTGAGAAACGGCAAAATGAAAGTTGCGTGTCGTACTACATAAATGACTGCTCAATAAAATTTTGCCAACATGTGCTTGGAGCGGTATGCACATAACCGTGTCAGCGTTTCCGAAGCTACGAAGTACAGTGGATGAGGTAGCACTGCCAGTGGGGTCGCGATGGAGCACTGAGACCACAACTGCGAAAACCAGCTCACGCCTCGTGCAAAAGTGACTTAGCGCCCCTACGAAGGCCCGCAACAACAGCGACGATCATTCACAGGGGGCTGGGTGCAGTGGCTCGTGTGCTGGGGGCTGGGAGCTTTCCGTTCGCATCGACGACACACCGCTATTGACGAACAAATGTGACGTACACCCGCTTCAACTGTTGGATGGGAGATGCAACGCCATGGTCGGGACAAACAGTGAGAAAGGCTGAAAGATAAATAAAAAGGCTGTATTTTCAGCCACCAAAAATGTGATATTGGTTTGTATTCGTTTTTTTATGTTTTTTTTTTTTAATCTACTTCGTCACATGTAAAAATATATCTCGAAATTGGGTTATGAAGGACAGATATGAATTGTGATACCGTTATTTCGTTTTACCTGTTTCTTTTCATTCTGAACCACGACAATTTCCACGTTAAACCAGAAAACGTATGTACAACACATGACAAATGGCTATATACAAGACCAAACTCCCGCAATAAGTTCTGATCACACCTCTTGATTCCGGATAATCACTTTGATATCGTTTCCGGCAGCAACGGCCTCAAACGCATCCTTTGCCCGCGACATGGGAAAGCTCGCTGTGATGAGAGGCGCAATATCCACGACGCCACGGCCTAGCATCTCGATGGCCGAGGGGAAACACGACGCCGTATACCGCGTGATGCCCCGCACATCGAGCTCCTTGTTGGTGATGGCAATGGTCGGGAAGATATTGGTCTGGATGTGGCCCAGGCCCACCTGAAGGTACACACCGCCGTCCTTGCAGATGGCCACGCCGTGGAGCATAGCGTCTTGCGCACCACTGGCCTCGATGACGCGGTCGACACCACCCTCGTCAGCCAGCCCGACCTCGTCCAGAATGGCATCCATGCGTGCTTGGGCGACCATCCAGGCTTTGTCGCCAGGTGTCGTGTAATCATGAGAGGCGCTCCCGCTGCTATCCGTCCCATTCGTTCCGGTGCCGTTGGTGTCGCTCTGTCTTGGAGACAGATCTGGGAGACTGTCGATTTGGAAGACGTGGTCGATGATGGGCCGCCCAGTCAGTGGGGACTTGTATGCTTTGGCAAACTCGACCCTTGATGGCTTGATATCAAACGCAACGATCCTCCGTGCAGAGTAAGCGTGTGCCACAGCCGCCGTGATCAGACCGATGGGGCCACAGCCGCTGTCTATTGTATTAGTAAGGACAAACGACCGTGTACCAGCTCCGCTCCCTGGGGCAAGGATGGGTCTCACAAAATAGCAATCGTCTGGTGGGCACGGAGGTCGGCACGTTTGCCAATTTGCACGCCGATCTGGCCAGTCAGTAAACAGGACCACGGTAGTTAGTTTCATCGTCCAGGAAGGAATGACTCACTGCCAATGGTTGTATACTACCTGCGACGTCCCAAGGCACGGATTTGGGAATTTTGGGTGCCATGTCGACCGGCAGCACGTAGAAGCGGGAGAGAGTGCCATGCACGCCAGGCGTGCCGCAGTAGCGGATGGTCGTGCAGATGTTCATGCGCCCGCCCTTGCAGTTGATGCATTTTTGGCAAGGCAAACCGGGTTCCACGGCCACGTGGTCACCCACTGCATGCGTGGTCACTGCCGCACCCACGGCCTCGATGATACCCGCCGCCTCGTGGCCCATGACTGATGGCGCGCCTATGGGCCGGCCCCCAACACCGCCGTTGCAGTACGAGTGCATGTCGGAGCCACAGATGCCATTGGCCATGACGCGCACTAGAACGCTGTCCGGTCTTAATAGGGGTAGGGGCACGGGCTCAATGGAAATGGTGCGCGTCTTCACGAGCAGGCAGGACGTGTTGGCCGGCAGGTTGAGAGCCAGGACGTTGTCTGGCTGCAGGTCCTGTTGCTTTCCATGGTGCTGGTGGTGGGTGGTGTGGTTGTCAACGTGCGCCATTTTGGCGAATGGGGGGAGAGGAAGGTGCAACAAATGCAAAATGGTGCAACCCTGAGCACGAGACGAACTGTGAGTTTTGGCTGATGGCAACGTGCTCAGCAGGGTGCAGGGCGGCGCAGGGTGACAGACAAATGAGATGGGACAGAAATCAAATGAAAATCAAAGTCCGAGGAGCGTGCGTTGTGATTTCTGACCAGACCTGTAATTCTGTGCCGTGCCAGTATGTCTTTTCCTTGGAGCTTCCCTGGAGTATTTTTATTAGTTTGAGCCCGGGGGAAGCGGCGAGTGCAGCAGAGCTAAAACCCAAGAGAGTTGCAGCATTGTTGTGCATGCGACCTCGCCTGTGCCATTTGCCATTTGATTTATTCTTCCGCCGCCCTTGTTCTCGCTGCCGGTCATCGGTGCGGAGAATTTCAAGGCGTGCTTTAATGTTGCCTAAGTGGGACCCAGTACCAGTCCAAACTCAGTGAAGGCCAGGTCCAGGTCGGTGGAAAGCTGACCGATGCGGCCGTTCACATGACCGGCTGCAGATGCAGAAATACGGCACGGACACGCCTCGGAACGGGCGAAATGCATTGTTTTGTCGTGTTGATGGAGGTGCCAGGAAGTGGTATCATGCTTGTCTGATTTTTCTTACTTGGCTGCTTCCCGCTTGGTTGAGACATGCATTGTCCGCAAGGATTTACGCAATGAAAGCCCATAAATTTAGGTAATGGTGCGAGAGGCTGCAGTAGCTGTGAGCGAAGCGTGGTGGGCGTGGGGGCCACCGCTCTCTCACACGACCACGCGGGAAGACCGCTTGTACGGCGATGTCCCTGATGTTGCAGCCGATAGGAGAATTCCGTAACTTCAACGATTGCGTGACTTTCGGCACTGATAATGCACCGCAACAACTGTCGTAGTCGGACAATACGAGTTCGGTTGGGTAGGACCCGGGCGCCGTGCCATCTGCATCATGGTGGACATATGCCGCAAATCGTCCATACTGTCTTCAGGGAAGTGACGGCTGGGACTCTCCTTCTCCGTGCAGGCTGTCCGAATGATACACTCGACAACGCCTCCCCAATGGGCAGTGTCGGTGTTTATGTTACCGGCCACCGATCGATATATTTGATTGTAACATTTACTCAGTGGATATTTATTATCGCTTTCAAGCACATCCATTTCCTGCAGTCGTTATAATCAACATCAGGCGATGATTCGTTACCATTGCTACTTTTTTAACCTGATTGTTAATGGATCGAAATGGGCGCCAAGATATGGAAACAGACGCTAGTCCATGGCCCTATTGTTGACATACAGTTTCGTCCATCGTCTTAGACTAACACCAGAATGACATTAGCTAACAGTATCGGCTTCACGACTCCTTTACGGTCTATTTTCGATAGTAATATACTGATATTTAACTAATAGAGGGTATGTGACTGTCATTCGATAACGAGTGAGAAGCTACACAACTAAGAGATTATGAAGCGAGACGCGGTTCTTAATGCGTGCCGAGTTGGACGAGCACAGATGTGATTTGGGGAGCGATGCAATGCCACCACAGACAGAAGCACAAGTACATCCGATGGTGCCCATGACAATGTTGTCGTTCTCGCAGCGTGCTTCCCGCCCGCCAACTGACACACAGTCTCAAACGGCCGGTCGTTGACGGCGCCAATCACAAAGGAGGTGTCCTTTGTCGGAAACGATGCATATGGTACCAGTTTCGGGTGTCCAATGCCCCAGCGATGCGCCTCTTTCTCGAGGTTCGGCCGCGGTATGTAGACGATGGCCATGATGCTGAACGTTCTTTCAAGCAGCGACGTGTCAACGTGTTGTCCAATCCCCCCAAAACGGCTGCCGGTCACGTCCCATTGGCGTAGTGCCGAAAGAATTGCTCCGTGAAGGTATGAGCCAGTGCACTTGCCCACGAGCCCAACACCAGGCATGGTTGGCACGCTATACGGCTCACCCGTGATGTGCAAAAGGCCACGTTTGGCCGCACCGATCACATCACAACCGGCACGGCTGTCATGGATCTGTGGAACGTACTCGGATATGCTGGCCAGAATAACCGATAGGTTAACGGCCTTCAGGGCTCTGTAGCCGAGGCCAAACTGGTCTAGTTTTTCAGGAATAAATTTTTCGACGTTGTAAGTTGTTAGCGACGCAATTAAAGAATCAGAAACTACAGTCCACGCAAGAAACAGAAAAGAAAAAGGGCAAAAGATGATACAATACTGTTGCCATATACGACATATAGGCGTTGGCTATTCGTCATCGTTATACATACACTTCAGTATTTATACAGTGTCGTTATACGTGGTGTGCCGTTATGCCGTTTTGTTGTTATTCCTCTGTCCCTCAGCCATACATTCGCATCCGCATCCGCATCTGCGGCCGTCGCAGCCGCAGCCACAGGCGCAGGCGCGTCCATGTACAGCACAAGGCAGTCCGGATTGGCCTTTTTTCGAATCTCGACCCAGCTCTCATTCGACCGCTGTGGACTGCGGCTGTCATCGCTCCTTCCACCACTGTGATCGCCGCGGCGCCGGCCGGCGCCGTCTCGCGCAACGGGCTGAATGACTTTGACCGGCGACTGCACCGCCGGGTCGACATACACCTTGTCATTCAATGTCGACCGCCGTCCTTGTCCGAGGAGCCGCCGCCGCTTCCGCTCAAGGACTCGTTGAGAATACGCGACGCCGGCGTCAAGAGCGCGGTGCACAAAAAATCGTTTGTTCATACCACATTCAAGCCGCCGTCTTGGTTCAGCGCCTGCCGCGGCAGGTTCTCGAGCAGCGTCTTTTCGTCGTACTCGATCCACCGGCGTGACGACAGACCAGGCGGCTGGGTCGCCTGCTGGAGTGCGCTGTGTATCCGTGCACAGCCAGCGCGCTACACCTCGTCGCGGAGCGCGACCCAGGGGCGAAGATACATAAGATAGTACTTTTGTCCAATGTCAGTGCGGCCAGACGTAGTGGGCTGCGGGCTCGTCGATTTTGACTGAGAGGACGGAGAAGATCAACTCGCAGCATCCGAAGCCGAGGACCATCGCATATGCGGTGGCACACTTGTCGAGACGCGGTACGGAAGCAGCTGTGGATGGATTGACCTCTCAGCGACAGGCAAAGAACCTTCCCCACTACAATTGGAATGAACCTTGGTCGTACAGCGAAAAGCTCGGATCATGTGACCAAATCGTATCATATTCTGGATTGGCGAATCCGCATTTTCTCGTGACCATACCAACCGCGCCGATGTCCCCAACTATAGAGAACCTAGGACCCCCACAGCAACGAAAAACAAAAACAAAAATGGCGTTGCAACATTTAATCACAACAAATTTGAAAGTCTCAAAGTCGCAGCCCTGGTCTCCTGTCAACACGTCATCGTGCTAGGCCTTCTCGCTTTTAGCCCTATTTCGTCTTCACTACGCAGCCGATCGTCTTTGTGCACCTTCAGAATCCCCCCCTTCACTTGTATTTCTCGACCAGACCCTCCAGTTTCCTGGTCCTCCACTCCTCCGGCCTCCTTTTACTCGCTCTGTTCTGGCGGCACGTCATGGCGTCCCCTTCGCCTGCGCAGAATAGCAGGGACCTGCGGCCAGGTGAGTGCAGATCTTGAGGCGGAACAAGCAAGAGCGAGCCTGCGCCAAACGGCCCATTTTAACGAGTTACTCCAAGAAGAGCTGAGATAGGAAAGGGACCGAAAGAGCTGTCCGTTTGCCTCTTACCCATGTTCCCCTGGCTTCCCTGGCTTCCCCTTGACATCGATCTGACCTTGACCTAGCCGCTGACGTTCTTCGAACACTCCGCATCACCCAGGTCAACCATCCACCCAATTTCTGCCACAGATCAACGGCTCACACGCCCACCGGAACAAGACGACGAGTAACTAAGACACGGCATGAAAAGAAAATGTAAGTACAGCGGCAAGGAGTGAGAGCGCGCGCTACGCCCCTCGCCCACCTCCCTTACGGAAAGAATGGAGACGTTGTTTAAGGACTGCGGTTTCGGCCATCCTGTGACCATCGAGACCAAGGCCCTGGTCGAGTCCGTTGCCAAGGAGAAGAACGAGTTACGGTCAAACGACATTGGTGAGAAAGATAAAGAAGGCTGTGTAAGAATGCAGCAAGTTGAAGGGGCTAGGAGAATATCGGGAAAAAGAGACGGTAATACCGTCGCATCACGAAATCCTCGCAGCCCGTGTCCTAATCACCCGCTTCGCGCACGATGACAGCTTAGTTAAGCTGTTACAACAGAGCGCCATTGAGCATTTCTCGTCCGCTCCAGTCCGAAGCGGTGGCTACAATGCCGGTCAAGAAGAAAAGCACGACGAGGATGAAGAGGATGACGAAGATGCTGACGAAAACTACGACAACGGCAAATTCATCGACAGTGGAGCAGTCGAAGCCAAGGGCAAAGAAGCAAATGAGGCAACCAAGAACAAAGAGGAAAACAATGGACCAGACCAAACTCCGCAGCTCTTCCAGCACGGCGTCCTTCTTCTCGTGCGAGCGATGAAAGTTTTCGACGCCAACTCTCTGCACTCTATACCCCTTTACTCCCTTGCCCGCTTCATTGTCTTCCCTTCCACGGTCCCTTTTCCACGGCCAAGGGGCATGACCACGACCAGTCTCTGCCAAAAAGCAGGCGTTTTTCACCCCTGACTGCAGACTAGCATCTCTTGCCCTCGACACTTCTCGCTTTCCGTCAAAGCCTTGATCCTGCTCTTAACGGCAGTTCTATACCAGCAGAGATAGCCCCGCGGAGAAAGACCAGCGTCGACAACCAAATTGTCCCGACCAGTCCAGCAAAGCGCAGCCGTGTTGTCACCGATAATAGCAGTCAGGAGTCCCGGCCTCTCAACCCAGCGACCATTCGCGGCCGCACTACCGTTCCGCAATGCAAAGCCACAACAACATGACGGCACGCTCGACTTTTCCCGAGACCAGTTTTCTCCCACGGTGGACGCTGACAGACTCAGCAACTAGTTTCCGACATCTTTGCCGACTCGTACCTTTTGTCTCTCCATTGTCTTGAGCGACTGATCAACATAGTCAAGTTTAAGGCCACCACAGCATTGATTAAGCCGACGGAAGGAGCGATCGTCTCCGAGTCCGTGATGTCAAGCCTCTATGGAATGGAAGGCATGCTTTTGGCCACTCCCCGGCACTCGCTCACTGTAAGTCAAGGTCACTAATATGCTGCATCGCCATCTTCCTCGAAGGTGTTTATTTGGTATTGTTGGACGACGGGCTGCAATAGGAGTACTCATGCTAACAATAAATATAGGCACAGCTCCGGGACACCGTCTCAAAAAAGTCTGGTGGTCAGTACTGGATTTTTGGAGCGATTTGCGAGAAATGCACCTACCATTTTATTGCAAAGCACCCCGCAGGTCTGCCTGTCAACAGCGTTTCCTCCGAGATGACTCGCAACATCGCAGTGGCTGTCGGCGACGAGTTAATTCGCATCGTGAATCTCTGGCCTGGACCACTCAGCGACGTCACATGTCTGCGAATCTCAAAAAGTTCCGGTTTCTCACACAAAGTCGGAAACGAGCTGATGAAGATCGCTATTTGGAACCTCGGTGGATATGCATATTGCAGTGCAGGTCCCCATATGTCAAGAAGCATCCGGGAAACAACCTCTCCATGCGGGTTTCGGTGTGACTTTTGGAACCCGAGACGTTCCAAAACTATTCAATTTCGCCGGAAGTCTCGCAAAATCTAGTCAAGGTGTGCCGCGCCGAGTGGTGAATACTCAGCTGTTAGAGTAACGGTTGGGCCGCTCTGTCCGGATAACGTTAGTTCCCAGCACTGCACTTCGCAACGACTTCGAATCTGGTTCGCTACCCAATCTTAGTATTCCGCCCCTCGACCGTGGATAGTCCCTGTCGCAGACGCGCTGTTGCAAATGTTTGAGGACACTGGACATGTTAAGGTGGCGTTGCTAGCCGGGGCACATCGGCTTGTTGGATTATTGCGGGATATTGAGATGATGTAGATGATGTACCGTCTTTTAAATATACCAAATGTGCCAATTTACCCTCTGTTGTCGTTTATGCGCGCGTAAAAAATGTATACGGGGCGACACACCACGCCTCAAACCAGTACTACAACAACCAAGAATTCACCCGAGGTAACCTCACGATCCTTGATTACAGTTGAAATCTCCCTTTTCCTGGTCAAATATCCCTCGTTCTCCGAATCACAACACTCCCACTCACGTTCGTGTTTGGTGGTTGACACTCTTCGTCTGTTTCTTCTTCGACCACGATGGCATTGTCCATTCGACTCTCCACAAGACACCTTTCTCCCGGTCGCGACTTCCCACTTACGCTCGCATTAACAAATCCATATCCGGCTCGGTCGCGACTTTGTCCTGAACATTTGCGCCAGTCCATGTTTCTTCCGCTAGACCTGTGCGAAAGTAGAACTATCGCTAGTTTTAGCATCCCATCTCTTCTCCAACTGCGCCGACCAGTGATCCAGGCGAGTTTCTCACCAACTCACTTTTACAAGTCGCCGACCCGAGCAACGACATCGTCACGTGTATCCGATTTTCTTGCTATTGACGTCCATTTGACTTGTCACCGACGACTGGTCCAAAAGCGTGCCCACCCAAAGCTCATGGTTGCAATTTTGACACATGATATCGCTCTCACAGTTCGTTTCTCCCTCGCCCCTGCGGCACTTCATGCACGCTAGCATGCTGCAAACAGGACACACGATGCATCTTACCGCCCAGGATTCTGTCGTCTGCATACCAGACTCCCAGGAGACCCGTGAGAAACCTGATAGCCAAGAAACGGTTTCTCAATTCTTTTCATCGTCAATTTTCGACAATGATTGCGACGATAGCTACGTGGATGTGAACCGGGGCGGTGAGCTCGAGCGATCGCCGGCACGGTAGCCGAGTACTGGCAGGCACATACCGTGTACATGACTCTCACTTTACATTCCTCACCGATTTATTTGTTATTTTATTTTCTTTCACACGGAAATCTATTGATTACTTCAATACTGCTTGCTACGGAATATTTCCATTTCTCAATCGATAATAACGGCAACGTATTTGGGTAAGCTTGGGTCATGTAGTATGGCTGCTATCAATCACGAGCCATGCAACCGAATCTACCATGAAATATATGATTATGATACGAAGAAAGGAACAATAACCACTGTCAATAACTCTGTGGTTTACATTGGTGTTTTCTCTCCTACGCAATAATGGAGGCGCCGGTCTCATGGAAGGAAACAGGCGAAAAATTTTGACCCAGAGTACCTCGTTTCGGCTTTTGGATACGGCAATATTAAAGTAAAAGGAACGGAGTGTAAAAGTAATTGATACCAAATATATTACTTCGGCTCGTGTAGACGGCAATGGAAGTTGATACGTACAATTTGATGGGATATACGTCCAGAGGCTTCACCGTTTTACAACCACTAGATGCGGCTAAATGGTGGTGATTCATACCCCTGAACGGAAGTCCTACCCGACGTTCCTAGCCATGGAACACCAATTACAGTTGAGTTGTATAAGAATCAATACCTGGCTTTATATTGTACGCTGCACTATATCCACGGACATACGAAAGACATTAAATCATGCGTTCCAGGAAAGGCTTCGCATCGGCAACTAAGATCGGTAATACCCAAATAAGGATACTGGCGAACCTGTACTCTATTTTTGGGCTCTTCGGAAACATGGTTTATTTTAGAATTATACTCCAGAGCTATGGTAAGTGCTGTTTATTTTATAACCTCATGACTTGCTCCCCGAGTGTGTATATAACATCACACGTCCGCCTCTGCGTGGACGAATGGCCAGTCCTCAAAAACATCACGCAACGAGTTTTCATATATATTTACTATTTACTAAATTTATAACAGAATGCTTTTTTGGTCATTGGCCACCGTGGTGGCGTCTGCGGCCTTTGCCGCTGGCGCATCGCTTAAGCCAGTCACGAGCTTCGGCGCGAACCCAACGAGTATACAAATGTACCTCTACGTTCCGGACAAAGTCGCAGAGAAACCAGCCGTCATTGTTGCAGTGAGTCATAGATAGACAAAATCCCTCGAGTGGGACAGCGTATGGAGTACTTATTCGAAATTAGCTGCACCCGTGCGGGGGATCCGCAACAGGATGGTATTCGCAGACAAAACTGCCTTCATATGCAGACAAGAACGGCTTCATTCTGATCTATCCCGGTACGACCCATATGAGCAACGTAAGCATCGACATCCCTCTCCGATTTGTCGCGTTCTCCTAAATATGTTTTCTAACTCTTTCTTTTTGTCCGTCTTTAGTGTTGGGATGTCCAGAACCCCGCAAGTCTCACGCACAACGGTGGCGGCGATGCCGGTGGCATTATCAGCATGGTCAATTACACCCTGGCCAAGTACAACGGTGATGCGTCCAAGGTCTACGTCATGGGCGGCTCGTCTGGTGCAATGATGACCAACGTGATGGCGGGCTCCTACCCGGATGTCTTCGAAGCTGGCGCAGCGTTCTCCGGCGTTGCGCATGCCTGTTTTGCCGGCGCGGCAGGCGCAACGCCCATGTCGCCCAACCAGACCTGTGCACAGGGCCAGATTTCTCACTCGGCGAAGCAATGGGGTGACTTCGTGCGCAACTCATACCCTGGATATACCGGTCGGCGGCCACGGATGCAAATCTTCCATGGCTTGGCCGACACTTTGGTTCGCCCGGCATGTGCGGAGCAGGCCTTGTTGCAGTGGTCCAACGTACTGGGCGTGGAACTCACCAAAAATGTTACGGGAGTCCCCTCTGCAGCATACACACAGGAGATCTATGGAGATGGCACCAAGCTGCAAGGTTTCTTCGGGAAGGGCGTTGGCCATATCGCGCCAGTGAACGAGCCGCTGATGCTGAAGTTTTTTGGCATTACTCAATAAGTAAATGTTTAGTAGCCTGTGCGTCCTGTCAGGACCGCCATGTTGCAAGGAGATAGGGACTTAGGTACAGCAAAAAATGGTGTGTAGTTCAGACATTTTGTTCCTCATCAAATTCAGACCAACAAGACGCGAAAACCACTATGCATCAGCTTGGATGAGTCTTTTTGTTTTAATCTAGCACCGTACGTGTAATTCACAAATCCACGAAGAGCTAGTTTTACCTGACTCTGCTTCTCTCTCAAAAATAAATACATTTATACTAAAGGTCATCGGCAGCGGACTATTGAAATCCTCGTTTCTGTCGAGCGACGTGACGATGCCGGAAAAGTGATACGGCACGCGCCGGACATGCTTCGGTGGAGCGCGTTGGTCATGGTCAGATCTGCCGTGGTGGTGTCGTACGTGCCCCTACCCTGGCCAGTGAACCAAAAGTCGTGGCCATACAGATACATGGGGTGGGGCACGTTGTTAGACGTCAAAATAACAATGTAGGCCCAAGTGTTGGCGTCAGGGCTTAAGTGTTGGCGTCAGGAAACTGGTAGACGGTTTGGGCGGAGCCCTAGGTGTCGTTGCTCTCGGACACCTGTAAGAGCGTCGGGTAATCCTACTGCGAGACGAATGACGTGGAGCGTATTTCCTAAAGACCGACGCCATTTTTGCCCCGATACAGACCGATGGCAAAGGTCGTCGTGGTGTCCGGGTCGTCCGCGGTTGCACTAGCCAGGTATGGCAGAAGACTGGCCATGGGCACATCCTCGCAAGTGGTCGTGCCGTCGTCGGTGGCACTCGACCACGCCGTCGAAGTCGGATCGGATGTCGACGATGAGTCGTAGCGTACAATTCCCAGCACGTTGCTGGGTCTGTCATTTTCGCCGTACGACTGCACCACGGCGCATCCAAAATTCTGTGACGGACTCGGTCGTCGTTTCATTCGCCGTCACGACCACATCGTATCGCTGGCTCATGCTAATGGATATGCTCTCAGCTGCATACGGCACAACCGGCAAGGGGAAATCCACACACTGCAATTTCAATGCATTTCTTCTAGGCTGTGCTTTATTGGTATTCAGTCTTTCTTTGTTTTGTATCAACAGAAATAACCGGGGCTTTTCCACTTTTGTCAAGTTTTCAAGCACTACCGAGTAGTAGGGCCTCTCTTTTTGATTAAATTGTCATTTTGTCAATCTTCTTGCTCTCATCCCGCTGCACGTGCCTCGGCTGACTGTTGCTTCGAGGAGCAAAACGATGGGCAGCATAGGCAGCACGGGCAGTTGTTAAGTAGTGTAAGAACGGCTATCGGTCCGCCGTGACCCCGTGTAAAATGTATATAAAAACGCCATACTGTCTGCCTTAAAGGGATATATTATACTTAAAGCACAAAAACATTAGAATCCATGTTCGTTTAACCATCGAAGAAGATCAGTTTCTGCTTTCGCTCTTAGCTCGGCCTTCTGTGCATCGTCCATCTTTTCAAGGGCCGATTCACTACATAGCGGGTACGGGCAGATGAGACTTTGTAACCGTAGCACAGCATGGATCTTCTCAACGCCCTTTATTTCTCTCGGCGTGACCACACCATGTTTTGCCATTGCGGCATTCCATGTTTTGGCCATTTCCCATGTCTCCTTGGAATCCTCGTCTAATTTGTCAAGTGGCTTGGTAAAGTCGCCTGACAACTTGGCTTTGTTGAAGGCAGTATCTGGATGAGTTATATTGCAGCCAATGTCGTAGAGGAGTGAGTTGAACTCATCAAAGGGATTAGAGACAAAAGACCAGTCATAGTCCAGTATGGCTGTAATTTTCTTTGTTTCTTTGTCGAACAGCATGTTATTCAAGGCTGTAAAATTGTCAGCGGTCGTTTTGACTTCCGTGAACTAAATCATTCCTACTTACTGAGGTCTCCGTGTATTAAAATCCTATGATTAATGTCAACACCACTGAGAAGTTTCTCCAGGCCACCGGTGCTTAAAAATTGATCGACTCTTGCGCCTACCCCATTGCACTTCCAGCCCTGAGCCAATGAACTTTTTGCCGCCTCTTGGAGTTCCATCATTATTTTGGCTTGCTTCCATCCAGTATACGAATCCTGAGGACTCGATTTAAGGAAAGCTGCTTCTCCACTGACGATTTCTCCACTGGAGTTAAATGTAAGACCGCCAAACCCTGTCACTCCTTCTGGTAGTCTTGCCGCCTGGATGGCAGAAAAAGCAGCAGCGATCTGGCCGAGGACTATAACCTTGTCTGTAAATTTCAGAGACGCGAACTCCAAGTCCAGGTCTATGCCACGCATGAGCTCCGACATTGTCCATCCGTAGCAACTTTCATCCGCATTTGCATCTGTAGAGGTAGCTGGCGCCCAGGCATAGATAGCAGGAACCAATGAAGCGATCTTGGCTTGTACCATGGACTGACGGACAAGGCTCTGCACTGCTATGTCATTCTCCACGCGGTTGGTATTATTCATTCCAGAGGCTCTGAGATTGCTGAGTTTGAGGACCAGAACAGATACGCCTTCAGGAGGCGCTTTGCTTGTACCAGGCTGCGTACCTGGGAATATCGAAGTGGATGCTGGTTTTGCGAGCTTCACCTGGTATAAAAAGTTGTTGTAGGGCCACTGATAGTCATCACTGTAGGCCATGGTCGAAATACTGAAAGGCTATGCCGTGAAATCAGTGACAGAGCTTTATTGGAAAAGCGCTCTGTTACGTACCTGTAACCCTTGATTTCGGAGGAGTCTCTCAATTACAATGAGTCGACGTCTATATCCCTCATGGTTAGTACTGACAGGCATCTTTTGGGAGTGAATGAGTTGTCGAGTAAGTTAAAACCCGGGGCGTGAAGTGGGAGTGTATCGGCAACAGAGAAGGATGACCCCGAAAAAAATGGCCTCGACTGGAATTATGATTGAATTTATATCATTTGCTTTGGGGCGCTGTTGTGGCACAGCAAATAAGCAAAGGGATATACGGCAACTTTGAAAATTTCCTGTAAAGCGGCGCAGCCATAATTCCCGACACCCGATTGGTACAATACAGACTGAGTATACTACCAACAGTTGATTTGATATATTATTTTATGTAAATAATAAAGGGCCTCAATAACCTACTCGCCACCGGCCCTACGACGGAGTCCTGTTGCCGTCACCTCCGTGCGGCCTGGACCACCGTCATGCAGTGGGCGCGGCCCAGAGGCGTTATCTTTGAGCCGGCTAAAAGCGAACTCCTCCACTTCTCCCGAGCCCACACCGCTCCGGCAACGCCGCTAAACCTCGGCGGCCGTGTCCTTTTAGAGCCCCGCCCGACGGCGCGCTTCCTCGGTATATGGTTGGATAGGAAACTCCTCTTTTCGGAACACCTCCGGTAAGTACAACGACGCCTGGCCACGCAACGTTACGCTCTTACGAGACTCACTGGTAAAACGTGGGGCTGTACCCTCCCGCGCGCCCGCGCAATTTACACGGCCGTACTCCGGAGTACAGCCGCGTACGGTGCGGGCGTGTTCCTCCCAGAAAACAACAATAACCGCCGCCCCACAGCCAGTATCGACGCCGTTTTTCACGGTTACCTCCGGGTGATTATCGGGGCCTACCGTACTACACCCATCCACCTCCTACACTCTGAGGCCGGTATACCGTCGTTGGATCTTTACCTTCAGTACAGACGAGCCGTCTTCTTATCCCGGCCAACCTACTAAACGATGGCGCGGGCTATTAAGTACGCCGTCCTCCCCCCCACGTACCACGCTTCTTACCGCCCCCCCGCTTTACCACCTCCCCCGGCCCCGGAGGAGGTAGACTGGGCCACCGTACTTCACCGATAGAAGGCCCGGTGGTAACTGGCCGCCAACACAGGCCACGATCACGCACCCACCGCTAACCAAACGCCATATTGGAACGCTTCGGCCGTCCGACGCCGCCACCACCATTTAACCAAGGCCGAAAACAGCCTCCTTACGCAAATACGCACCGGCCATATAGGCCTCCGGGCTTATCTCTTCCGAAGGCAGGCGGTAGATTCACCAGAATACCAATACGGCGCAGATGAAGAGACCGCAGCCCACGTCCTCTTAAACTGTACAAACGTACCGCCCCGGCCCCCGGACTGGCCCTACACCACCGATGAATTACACCGCCGGCTGCGCTCCGGCCTCACAGTAAGGCCACTCCTCCGATGGCTTACCCGGAGCGAGAGGCTGCCGGAGTATAGCCTTGCCCGGGCGCTTGAACAAACACCAGCCTAACGCTACTACCTTCCTTTATTCTTACGTCCTTCCTGTTGTCTCCTTGTTTTACCTTCTTTCTTTTCTTTTCCTTATTACCACTTGATAAGCCCTATTAGAGGGCTACTGCACACCCCCGGCACCTAGAAAGTGCTCATGCATAGATCTGTGGTAGTTTTTTCCCCATGAGGGTTCTGCCTAGCTAGACGCCAATAGCCAGGACTGGCTGAGAAAGGCGGATAATAATAATAATAATAAAGGGCCTCAATATGAGCGAAATAGCCCAATACTAAGCAGAGGTTGTTTAGACAGTATCACCGCTGGCCTGCCTACCGATAAGTGAGGACTGAAAAAAGTTTGATTTTCTCCCAGTTAGTGTCGTCATAAATAAAGATGGATTGGATTGATTTGTCATAATTTCTATCAATCTAAGCCGGCTATCTGGAGGAAGCGAATAACTAACAGCCGGGACAGAATCATAACAAGCAGTAGACGCGGGCTGTATATTTCATTTACTGTTAATATAAAAGTCGACATAAAAGTTAGGTCTTCGATGTACCTAACCGTACTTCCATTGGACTTATGGCGTAAGTCGCGCCAAGAACACTGCTAAAAACTTTATTATCGGCCCAACTTAGTCTCCTACTAAAAATAAAACGAACCTCGACACCACGACAACATTGCGACGGGTTAGCACGAGGGAGGCCTTGGGCAGGACGGGCAACGGCGGGAAGTCTATGAATAGAGCGGTATTCGTACGACGAGATCTCAAAGGTCTAGCGAGTCTACGTGAGGAGCAAGGTCGGTTCGACAACGCCGAGACAGTCCATGTAAAGCCAGAGGACACTGAGAAACACGGGCAAAAATAGTGAGACTGTGAAGGACTTCCAACAGACAAAGAAGGATCTAAGGTAGGTGGAACATAAGCTTTAGGAAATTTTCAGTGAGGTTATGAAGTAGTTACTGCAGATAGCAGAGGAACTAAGAGGGTGAAACATAAACTTTAGGAGATTTGTTAGGACGTAAATCCACGATAGTTTCGCGTTAGGGTATTATTACACAATTACACCCGTCACAGTCGCCTGTCTTGGCCATACTACTCTGATTAGCGCTCATATATTGATCAATGGTCGTCTACAGCTATGATTCGTGAGCTAAGCTGACTATACCAAGACTGCACGGCAACTTTTTCAGCACTGATCGTAAATTGAAATACTATGCTGTTCTTTAGACTTCATAGTGAGAAGGAAAAAAAATAAAAGAAATGAGGAGATTCTACTATTGCTGAGCAATTCCCTCCCAGTCATAATTGTATATGAGGCAGGCATTTACCACGAGATTTTATCGCAAGTAAGAAAACATGAATAGTGTATGAAAACGTAGATCTGTATCGTTTTCAAAACAAAATTTCTGAGGCGAAAGTTAGCGGGCACCATAGGTTGCGCAAACGACGTCCTCGTGGCAGGAGGCATGAAGTATCCTTCAGACAGGTCCAATGCACTGTGCAGTCTGTGCCTACGCCGAGTGGGTCTTGGCGCCGTTGATGGGACGGGTAGAGCCACCTGGCGAGGAAGCAATCCTGATCAGACGCGGCTGAAAATAAAGAGTAACACTACGTTTGTTGGTAGACAAGAAGTAGGCATAGATGAAATTATATGAACAGGGCATGCACTTCAAACTATGCAGTATAACCTGACCTCGCTGTGCCTTTCTTTTACTTAGAATGCACCTTTACTGTCACTACCCAAGTCTGATGTTTGGAAGTTCCCTTATCTGCTCCTATGTGCCCCCCTGCGGTTGTAGCGTTCGCTGTGCACGCTGCCTCTTTGACAGTTTAGTTTAGGGCAAGGAAGCGCAACTGCAAAGCTATCTTTGAGGCCCTCAACGTACAGTTCAAGGCTGCGATCCAACATTACCTTTGATCTGAGTAATGGTTTGCATCTCTTCCTCCACTGCCGTGACAGTCTTGGTCCATCTCCACACAGGGATCTTGCGCTCGTACAGCTCGTCGATTTCCGCAGCCGACCGACTGTGTTAAAGTTAGTCAATGTTCCCCACCGTGCGATTGATCACAAGGCTAAGCTTACCCTTTGGTCTCAGGTACCGTCAGCCACATAATAATACATATGGGCACCGAGAAAGCGCCAAACACAAACCCGGACTTCACTCCCATTGCAAGAAGCATAGGCGGTGTAGCATAACTGAACGGCAGTGTCAGCTGAGAATACAACTTGAGGTTCAGACAAAATGGGTTGCTGGAGCGGGGGAAATGTGCTTCACCAAAACGTACCACGCAGCAATGCCTAAAATTGAATTAACGAAGAAAGTGACAGGTCCAGTTTTCGCTATTCAGCTGTTAATTTAAGAACAACGACGGTGAAGGGAATGACTTTGAAACATACTTCGCAGATAGGCAGAGGGCAACTCCGCTGAGTAGAGGTAATAAGACATGCTGATAGGCTGAAATGAAAAGCTCCACAAGCAGCAAATAACGAGCTGGTAAGAGACTGCGGTCAGAACCAAAAAGTTTCTGGAAAAAAAAAAGACAGTCCCGCTTAAGACACAGGGAATAGAACTTACCAGGACAGTGCCACCAGTAACGCTTCCGCTTTGCGCACCGGTATACCACAAAGCACCGACGACGAAAAGAATCACTGTCGTAAAAGTTTGACAATAACAAATAATCAAGCGTCGTCCAAGCTTATCGGTGCTTAAACTCCAGCATATCATGGACAAAAGGTTGACGCAACTAGAAACAAAGTGCACAGAGCGTTAGACACAAGTTTTGCAACAAATTGTGTTAAACTAGATATCAAAACTTACGCGAGGATGACGGTCGCGAGAAACGGGTCGGTCAGGCCAGCCAGAGAGAAAAAGTCTGTGAATTTTAATTATGGTTAATGTTGCACATTCAACATATAAACGTAGTATTGAGATTCCAAACGTACAAGTGGAATAAGTGCTGATAATAACAAGACCGGCAAGCTGCTGGGCGGCGGAAAGGACCATGACCGTGAGGGTGCGTTTCTAAGCAACGTAAAATCGTATTAGCAAAGTTGAATTTCAATCCTTTTTGTTTCTTTTTTTTTGAAATTAGGTCGATGGGTGACGCCACTTACTAGATTAACACCCTTGAAAATCTCAAGAGTGTTTATTTTGCTCGTCAGAAGATCCTTCTCGTGCTCGATTGTCTTTTCGATAATCGAATATTCCTCCTCGAAGTCATAGCCTTTGACACCGCCGTAGAGCTGCTTCATGCATTTCAAAGCTTTGTTTTTGTTTCCGTGACGGGCATGGAACCATGGCGACTCGGGGGCAAGAATCCAACATATAAGCATCAATCCAACCGGGGCCCAGAGTATCCGCATAGCGAGCAGATAATTGTCGGGGTACTTGGAGTTGAGTTGCTGCATCATCACGGCTATGATAATGCCACCAATGTCACTCCTAAGCGATGTTGTCAATACTCGCAATATAAATAGGCTTTACGAAAGAAACTGGAGACTGGATACGTACCATACTGCCTGAAACGTGACCAATCCACCACGAATTTTATTGGGGCTGACTTCCATGGCATAGATTTGGCATGTTACCCTTGTATACTGTTAGAGTGACATTCCGTCGGGCCCGAGATGGATAAAACAAGCAACCAAAAGCGCTTACTGGAGCACACCAATGCCTGCACCGTTGCACAGCTTTCCTAGTGCCTGTTGATGTTAGTGTCAGGTCCATGCCGCTGGTGACGATAACTCTTGTTCGACTGACCCAAACTGATGGGGACTTGGCGACGTTGAGGAACATGCATCCCTGTTAAATATTAGCAGAGAGTCTATAGAACACCATCATCGAACCTCCTGCCTATCCCTTAAACAAAAAGGGCACGTCACGTACAATAGCAAGCCAGGTCCAAGCAAGATAGAATGAAGCTTTGCGTCCAAACTTGTCGGCGAACCTATACCCCGAAGTTAGAATCCGCATTTTAACATCATCGCCTCAATGGACAGAAACGACAGTGTGATATTTCAACGATCCTTTAGTACGTACCAGGAGATATGCGTAAATGTAAGGATTTGGCCGACGTTCTAATCCAATTAATAAGAGGCCAACTCAAGGTACAAAATATAAAGTATAGGCGAAAACATACGAGAAGAGCTGACCAAGTTGACACTATTCACGACAGTCAGTTTGTGTTTAGTTCAACTGGGGAGAGAGTCACGATCCAGATAAAAGAGAAATGCACTGCATACCCCAAGTCGCGCTCAGTGACCTCACGCCGGCCGTATCACCCGAGCCAAACTGCTTGATGAAGCCAGCATTTGCAATCACACTGCCTGAAGAATTTAGCTGTTGTCATGTTAGCCAACACGGTATGGTGATGCTATCTTTACTGGACGAGAGTCAAGGAGGTGTGGTCGTACTTCAAATCCTTCACAAATGTAACCGGTGTAAACCGAAATGATGATCAGGACAACACGCTTGAACGTCCAGATTGTTTGAGGGATTGTCAGGTTGTCGAACCGGGACTTGGCCAAGCCATAGCTGACGTAGCCGTCGACTTTGGCATGACCGATTTCCTCCAGGACGGACTGTTCCACGTGACCAATGGCCGGCTTCTCCACGACTATGTCCGGAGACGTTTCGTCGTTTCCCATAATGAGGGTTGCTTTGGATGAGTCAAAAAAAAGGAAAAAAAAAAACCCCGATAAGAAAGGTTGTAGGACACAGGCAATTGAGAAGGAAAGTATTTCTTGTAACAAATGGAAGCGCGGTGAGCAATTGATCCATAAGTGAAAAGCGGGCTGCTTTGCGACCCGTTTTATACCAACTACCGACAAATATCCTACTTTTTACATACTCACGTGTGGCCTTATCCGGCTTACAAGCAACAACGTCCATGAAGACCAATGCACACAGGTGATCCTTGTTTCGTAGACGCAATTTTCGGCCTGGTATGTACCGAACGCGACGAAAAGGAAGTTAGAACGTACAGGGGGCAGTGAGATGGAACGAAGCTTGCTTCAAAGAATCTCAGAGACGAATTGCATGTCGAAATACGATCCAGATCCCGGTCATTCGGTTAACATTGCCCCGTCGGCGCGGAGCCCCATGCCACTATGACGCTTCCCCGCAATCTCTCCGCAAGATCGACAGAGACCGTCTTTGGTCGGTGCGTTGCCTAGGCTTGTTCTGGTGGCCGGGGAAAGACGGCGTCAGAGAGGATCACCCAGATGAGGAAGGAAACTTGGATTGCATTGGGTAGGTCCACTCTACTTTTGTTTCCCTTCTGTTTGGAGTTGCTCACTTGGGGTGGATTTTGTTGTTTCGTTTCTATTCGTCATAAACAAAGACGTACCGTGGCTTCCGCACAAACTGGACGGCCAAGCGCACCAGGTTTGTTTCATCCCCGCATCAGCACGCGAGCAGTTATCACGAGAGTAGCCAAGAGTCGGTGCATTGTGAGACGAAAGAGCTTTTACAGAAGTCTCGTATTCACAGTTCACGCCGTATCGACTGGCGAGGATGGAGACAGCAAAAGCGCATGGGCCTTAGCAGTGTTAAAAAAAGACCACTCAGCCGACGTTGTCCAAAAACGGGTTATTAGGCGGGGCCCAACATGAGCGGACAACGATGTCACAAGTGCAACCCCAGGTTTTGTGTCCGCCGTATTCGTCGCAAATGTGAGCCCGGCAAATGTAATTACAACCGACAGTGAGACTTTGCCAAGGCGGGGTTTTTTCCCGTTCAGGGGGAGGGGAAGGTAAGCCATTCGGACACGTCTTACCCGAGTACGTCGTACATAACGATTACACTGGACCTTTGTCACCTGAGAGTTTATCGCAAAGAACAACGGCGCAGCAAGTAGCTTTCTGCAGCGACAAAACAAATTACGACTGGCATTAAAACGCCTTGAGCCGTCCATTCTATGTTATTCTTCGATCTCTACACCCATCGACACTCTTCTGACCCCTTTTGCTTTTAGCTCAAAATGCCTTCAATTCGAATCTCATCGCTCACATTCGAGCACCATGCAACTGGATTTGGTATTGGCCATGCCAAACCTCGGATTTCGTGGCGCTTCGACACTGACGGGGACGTGAAGAATTGGGTGCAAGAGTCGTACGAGATTCAGCTCATTGGGCAGGATCCAACGCAAAGGCCAGACACGTTTACGGTCAGAAGCGCGGACTCGGTTCTGGTTCCTTGGCCATGGCGAGCTCTGGCGTCACGAGAATCCGTTCAAGTTCAGGTCCGGACTCACGGCGTGTCCACAGACGACTCCGGGAACAGCACGACTGTTAGCACCGAGTGGTCAAGTCCGGTCACCATCGAGACTGCGTTGCTCGACAACGCAGACTGGAAAGGAAAATTGACGGCATCTTCGTTCCAGCCTTCGAAAAGAGAGACGCTGCGACCCATGTTGTTCCGAAAATCTTTCTTGCTGCCCGACGACGCGGGGGCCATATCGCAAGCCCGCCTCTACATCACGGCGCATGGGGTGTACAAAGCGTATCTCAACGGCCAGCAGATTGGCAACGAGGAAATGGCACCTGGATGGACGAACTACAAGAGTCGGCTTCTCTTCTCGACGTTCGACGTGACCCAGCAGCTCCGAGAGGCAAAGAAAGGATCCAATATCCTGGGTGTCGAGGTTGCCGAGGGCTGGTTCGCTGGTCGCTTAGCCTGGGCCGATCAGCGCTGGATATACGGAAATCGCATTGCATTCCTAGCACAGCTCGAGGTTCGCTTCAACAACGGCAGTCAATTGTACACCCTTACCTCCGACAACACGTGGAAATGCCGTCACAGTGCGACTGTGCGCTCCGAGATTTACGACGGAGAAGACTATGATGCTCGCGAGGACAATAAAACAACGGGGTGGGACAGCGATCCCAGCTTCGACGAGCGCGGGGCTTGGATGGGAACGGAGGAGCTGGCGTTCCCCTCTGCTCAGCTCGTCTCCTCGGACACGCCGCCTGTACGCGTCACCGAGACTATTTCGCCGCTCAAGATTTTCAAGTCGCCGTCTGGCAAAACTCTTGTTGACTTCGGCCAGAACCTGGTGGGAAAGCTTCAAGTGCGTCTCCCAGCGGCAGACAAAGACGGGCACACCATCACGTTCACGCATGCCGAGGTCCTTGAGCACGGCGAGTTGGGCACCCGCCCTCTCCGGACCGCCAAGGCACTCGACCGTGTCTTTTTGTCTCAGCAGACGCACACTCAGCCGTCCACTTGGTCGCCCAAATTCACCTTCCACGGCTTTCGCTATGTGCAGGTGGACGGGTGGCCGACCCCCGATAGCATGCCCGCTGTTGGGGACCTTGCAGCCCTTGTCTTGCACAGTGACATGAAGCGAACCGGATGGTTCTCCTGCTCTGAACCACTCATCAACAAGCTTCATGAAAATGTGGTGTGGAGTATGAAAGGCAATTTTTTCTCGATACCAACAGACTGCCCTCAGCGCGATGAGCGACTTGGCTGGACGGGCGACATTCAAGTATTCTCTCCCTCGGCCAATTTCATCTACGATACGCGAGGGTTTCTCGGAAGTTGGCTCGATGACGTTTTGGCCGAGCAACTACGAGACAACAACCCGGGCTATCCAGGGCTTGTGGTCCCTGATGTTCTTGGGGACGACTTGGGGGCGCAGAGTGTCTGGCACGATGTCACTGTGCTGACACCGTGGGACCTCTATACCAGCTCTGGTGATATGGAGATTCTGCGCAGGCAGTATCCGAGCATGAAGACATGGGTAGACAAGGGAATACCCAGAGGCGCCAACGGTCTGTGGGACCAGAATCCCTGGCAGTTTGGTGATTGGCTCGACCCTGCAGCTCCTCCGGAAGACGCAGCCGCCGGACGGACCGATGTCATTATTGTCGCGGACTGCTACTTGGTTCGGGTTCTCGAGGCCATTAGCAAAATCAGTGCTCTCCTCGGCGAAACAGCGGATGCACATCGGTACAGTGAGGATGCTGCCAGAACCAAGGCAGCTTTCGGACGGGAGTATATTGCTTCTTCCGGTCTTCTTGTGGGAGACACTCAGACGGCATATGCGCTTGCGCTCCGGTTCGGGCTCTTTGACAGCACCGAAAAGGTTAAGAGGGCGGCGGAACGCCTTTGCCATCTCATCCAGGCCGCCAAGTACCGCATCGCGACGGGATTTGCAGGCACTCCCGTTATCACGCATGCTCTCTCAGGCACTGGCAACCACCAGATGGCCTATCGTATGCTCCTCGAGCAGAGCTGTCCGTCGTGGCTCTATCCAGTCACCATGGGCGCAACAACCATCTGGGAGAGGTGGGACAGTATGCTTCCCGACGGCACGATCAACCCGGGCGAAATGACTAGCTTCAACCATTATGCCCTGGGCTCTGTTGCCAATTGGTTACACGAGTGTGTTGGTGGTATTGCCTCTCGCACGCCTGGGTGGCGGTCCATCATGGTGAAGCCGCTTCCAGGCGGCACAATCACAAATGCAGACGTGGCGTATGAGAGCCCGTACGGGCGAATTTCATGCTCCTGGAATATTAACGAGGCCAAGGACACGTTCAACATGACCCTCGTTGTTCCTCCCAACGCCAGGGCACTTGTCGTTTTACCATCCGAATGGCAAGCGGCGAGTCAAGAGTCAGGGAACGAGAAAGGCATCGCGGTTGGGTCAGGGAAACATGAATTTTCTTGCCCTTACAAGGCAGGTGCTTGGCCTCCACCGCCAACATTTAAAAGGTCAGCGTTGAGAACCCCTGCCTAGGCGAGTGGTGGATTCTGTGGTAGAAACTGGCTCCCAGTAGGTGCAACGGGCGCTGCGTATATAGAATTCCCCTTAAATGTAAAAGCCTCATGTCACTCGAGTTTATGTCAGGAGCCGCTGAATGTGCGTCAAGTGTTAGTGACATGATGTGTTGCGACTCGTACTCCTTTGGCAGATTTGGTTAAGTTCCGTGAAAAGAGACTAAAACGCAAAGTTCATTTTTTATCTCAACGTGAAACACACTTCTTCGTTGGCATCCGATGTGTATTTAAAGCCGGGGTAGAGGTGTAGATATTTACAACAATCATGCTAACGCCGGTGACGCGACGACAATAACCATCCATACGACATCATAGCGTTCACAAGGAAAGGCATAAGTGCCCGTCATAGATTTGCACCTCTATTATTTCAAGTCTGATATCTGTATCTGATGAGGGGTTGTCACTACCATCCCAGAAGCACATGCTTTGCCATGGGGATGACGCCCCTTAACTGTCAGAAATTATTGTCATTCCTACAAATATTTTTGTGCTCAACGCCGTTCTGTCTAGAAGGTTTGTATATTACTAACAAATGTGGCCCGTTTTCTGACGACCTGCTAATCATAGCCCCAACGCTAGCTGCCAGGTTAGTCGGGACTGGTAGGGGGATTACACCCCGTTGAAACCAAATATGGTGCTTGGAAATGGTATTCTGTAACATATTCGAGTAAACGACTACCTTGGTCTGGCCACTATTTCATTATTATGGTTGAATGGTATACCACTTACGTTGCCCAATATTTCCAGTTGTGGTCGTATGGGTACTATGTTTAAGTTCGGCGTGTCGTACGAATAGTATCGTTTGTCTGCTCTCGTCTTTTCCTACATCTCGATACTGCCTAATAAATCGGTCACAGACATACTCCGTACTCTATTGCCTGTTACAATTACCCATAAAAGTGGCAAGCACTGCCACCTGTTCTGCAGTACTGCTACGCCGTTTTATACATCACGCGCTAAAAATGGCCTCCTCGCCCTCTTCGTGTCAACTCTGCGTGGTGAATTGCGCCTCTCTTACCTCCGGCGTAAAACGGTCGCATGGTTCTCAGCAGCTTGGTTCTACATACGACGTCCGATATTTCAAGTTCCGTTGAATTTTATTTGGTCATTCTTTTCATTCGTCTTATTAAGTATCAATCGAGGTCTGTATTCATTTTTAATTGGATTTTAATCGCGGTCGGCTATTAAAAGCGCAAAATGTAACGGGAATAAATGAGTCATGAACGTTCAAACAATCAACTAGTTTTAGTATTTATTTAATATTCAAAAAGATTTCTGACTTTTTTTATCAATTAAAGTGACAAGATACTCTAAGTAAATGAATCGGAGATACCTCTGGTAAGTGCTACCGTCGAATACCATTATATCTTAAATATGGCTCGAGTGTTTACTCTTTCGCCTCAGCCATGGCCCCCACGCTTGGAATATAAGAGGAATGGGGATCATGACCACGGACAAGCCTCCAAGTAGTGTACATGCCCACTGCGTGCCTAAGGCCTGGAACATTTGTTTGGAAAAGAGTGGGAAACTCGCCGCAACCAAGGAACGCAGGATCACGTTTGCAGCAACTGTTGAAGCAGCTCTTTTCAGAGCGTACAAAGACTTGTTAGCACCTTACCGCTTTAGTTCACACGCGAACAAACCACTGTGTGCAGATTTGGATTCCTAAAAGAATGGAATGAAAACACTGGGTGGAAACGTTGACATACAAAGGGAGGTATGCATTAATGAGGTAATTGAAACATGGAAGGAAGACGCAGAGTGTGCCGAAGCCAATGAAAGCCCCCGCCGCCGTGGGGACAGCCCAGTGGATTGAAGACGTGAAGGCAGTCCAGCCAAACCTGAAATGGAACATATAGAGACAGGAATTCGTTAGCATTCATAATGGCACCAGGAATGATGTAGAACACAGTTCTTGCGGGGCATATTTCTAGCTTCTTACCAGAAGATACCGGCAGACAGAACTGGAGCTCCGACAATTGTGGACCGCAATGGCCATTCAGGCCGCAGCACATTGTCGTGTTTTGCCAGTAGCTGGACATACTCTGCTTGCTGCATGACGATGAAAGCGCACGCAAAAAGTACGCCCAAAAAAAGTCCGAGAAAGGGCAGGCAACTGGCCCCGGTTCCCATACCGTAGACGTGCTGGAAGACATATGGGTAAGCCTCGAGAAGGGCGTAGACAATCCCATAAATAATCGACATGTAGAGTGAAACGAGAAAAACGATAGGCTCCGTGAAAAGCAGTTTCAGGGGCAGCATAAAGTATTTGTCGATTAGTTCTCGTGCCCCTGCCTCAGTCCGCTCGTGTCGGGCATGAATTCCCCAGTTGTTCGTCAGTTCCCTTAGACGAACAGCCTTTTTCACCAGAAGGCATGGGGCATACGTCTCCTGCAAAAAAACAGTTGAAATACCACCAACGATTAGGCTGAGAATGGCTGGAATGTAAAGAGTCCATCGCCAGCTGAGGACTTCTGGAGAGGCAACGATGAATGAACCGACGATTGGTGCCATGAAAGGCCCTTCAAACACTGTCAGTGCATAAATGGCGATAGCCACGCCGCGGTAACTGTTATCGAAGAGGTCTGAGAGGACGCCGGGAACAACGGAAAAGGGACTTGAGCCACACACGCCAGCAAAAAAGCGGCAGATAAGTAAGGTCTGAATATCCTTCGAGGCTGCTGCACCGATGGAGAATATGCCGCCACCGACCAATGCAATTGTCAGTGGCCACTTCCTTCCTTGAAGTTCACTAAACGGTGCCCAAAGTATTGGTCCGGCCACAAAACCTAATACAAATAAAGTTGTACCCAGAGTTGCTACTTCGGCACTGGCCCCGAAAGTCACCCCTGCTGCTTCGATAGCTGGTGCGAACGCGGCACTGTTGAAAGAGGCAACGAATGTTCCGGAGCACACTAAAATTGATAGAAAGACTCTGTAGAAATGTAATCGATTAGCTGTCGTGTGTAGTTCTCTTTCTCTTCTTTCTCCGTTCCTTGAGCCACGAGCAGGTAAAGAGCGACCTTGGGTACCTTTTAGAAAGTTTCCAGTTATAGGGATGATACTGGTCGTCTGGAAGGTCAAAATCGACAAGATAGTGCTGAGGGTCAGGAATTGGTGGTGGAAAGGGCCGGCCACGACCCATTGATAGATTTTGAAGGTCGAAGGTGATTTGGCTGCTGTCGCTCAGCCCGGGGGCCGGTGAGTCGGTGCCCATTCTCTGGTTTGGAAACGAGGTATACTTTGCAATATGCGTGGACTAGTGTATGGGGTCTGGGAAGGCGGCTGTGTCAGAAAGTTGGAATGGAAAATGGGTTATAGTGAGTCTTCTAACTCTTGCAGACAGTGACTGAGCAAAGAGAAGGAATATATGTACATCTGCGACGTCACAGGTCTTTGCACCATTTTCGATGGTAGAGGTCTAATAAGGGCTTTGGGCTACCAGCGTGACACCGCAATATCCGCACACTTTCCCGGCACTAGCATGGGCCTGTCAATCAATCAGTGGAGCCGTTGCCAATTCGTGTAATTTGTAGACTACGGCATCAAAATAAAGGAATCAAGAAATGAACTAATCTTTTATTACTGCGGTCATACGTACTTCTTAATGACTACGAGTTGGGCCTGGGGTCGACCATGGTTCATTTATTAGGGACATGCTTTCGATCATGTCCGTATTCAAGAACTCTTCAAAGTCGACTCTTTGAAGACCGGGAAGATCTGCGACCAACGCCCCCAGCCAGGAAAACTCATCAGCGCTGGGGTCAGGCTGCGCCTGTTCCGACGACGACGGTTGTAGCGGTGTCTGCAATGACACCCTGGCAGATGATTCTGCCCATATGTGCTGGTTTTGTGCTTTGAGGGCCTCGCCAAGTACAGCAAGGTCATCTTTCCGGCGCTGCTGATGGAGCCGCACCAATAGATGGGCTGTACTGCACGCCTCGCGCATACGTTCCGTGTCGTAGATAGATGCGATGAGATACAGCGTCTGCATAGCCTCTGGCAACATAGCGAGGGCAGAGCGCGTATCCATGACTAGAATCACGCAAACGGTCTGGAAGGGAACGTTCGACACCTGGTGCCATGGACTGCAATTCGTTACCAGAGTTCGGGCACATGTCAAGCCCTTTTTGAGCAGTATCAAAACCTGCTCGGCGAGCTCTGATGGAATGTCCAAATTCTGTGTATGTATCCGCCGGAGAATGCAGAGGACTAGATTGCACTGCGCCATTAGGGAAGGCCCCAGCGTGTGTTGCCGGTTGAGGAGTTTAGACAAGGTCGAAGTTAGGTCGGTCTCATTCGTCGACAGCACCGGATCTAAGCTGACTGACATGGGTAGAAGTCCCAGAAGCTCTGTCGTGACGTCATCCCTCATGGGGGACGGAGGAAGCGAAAGCTCAGTCTTCAGATATGCCACTCGCGATAAACCCAAATCGAACGACGTCCACACGTTTAGGTGATGCGCTACACCCACCATCCGCTGTTCCAGTTCTGGATCGCATTGCTCTCTCGGCGGTAGAAAAGCAGGGATATCTGCGAGCAATCCCGACGCCTCGATCAGGTGCATCATTGTGCAGCTAGATATCCAGACTGTGTAGGGCGAATCCGTTAACCGCAAGTAAATGGTGCGCAATATCCAGCCGTTGATGAGGTCAATTGAAGGGGGTCCTACAAGCTTGTGCATGTTCAAAGCGTGGAATGCTGTGTGAAGAAGCTGTAGTTCCGTCATGGTGGCCATTTGCTGTGAAAACAAGCACCCGAGGGCGGCTACACCCGCCAGAACACCGTCAAACACATTGGGCTGTTGAGACGTCAAGAGTGTCTGTCGCTGAAAGCGCTGGTGGAGCCGCTCAAGGAATGCCCTCTTATCGAAGAACCCGTAGCATATGTGCACTTTTTCGAAGTAGACTCGGGCTAGGGTTTCGAAATGCTCCAGTGACGTAATTTCGACGACGGGAAGCACGACCGCCGGCTGCGTTGCATCAAACGGTGTGGACAGCTGCCGAGCTCCCAGATTCCAGCCAAAGAGATTGAGTTTTGGCGCGCGGGCTGGATCAATTTTCAATCCGAGTCTTCTGACGAATGCTGCTCCCGAGTTCCCCTCTAACCGCTGGACCAAACCAGAACGGGCCGTGTTTACAGCGCCGGTCGTGCTGTCAGCTGCAAGATTTGGTCCGTCAAGTGAGGGTACATGTTCTTGGAGGTGCTTTGGTGACGCAGTATGCGGGGCTCGTGGCCTTCTCTGCCGGGTAGGAACGGTTACCGTAGCTGTGTAATAACACTCGTAGCCATATTGTGTGCATGAGGTGCATGGCGTATTGCTATCACATTTTCTTTTGCGCTCCCGGCAAGGATTGCAGGCCAGTCTGGCACGTTTCCTCGCCGACATGGTAATGTTGCTCGAAGGCTACGGTTCGACGGCTCCTCGAGTAGGTAGGTACGATGCTCACAAATTGTTGAAAGCGCAAATTGTGGCCGGCTGCGGAAGTTGTGGGAGTTGCGGAGGTTGTGAGAGTTGCGGGAATTGCGGGAATTGCGGGAATTGCGGGAGTGGCGGGAGCTGCGGGAGTTGCGGGACATACTACGGAATAGGCAACTAGATGTTTGGGTGCTGTTTACCGCCGAGCTTATAAATGTGTTTCAGGTACTTTCCGTAATTGAATGTGGGAGACACTACTCTGGTGGAGTTGTCTTGTCTTAGTAGGGCTTGCCTTGTGAGACTTCCCATTAAAGTCCGGGGCTTGAACCGCACTACACAAGCTCAGCCGAGACGCTGTTTCCCAACAACAGGTCTAAGCGTCGGTGGTTTAGTGGTAAAATCTGTCGTTGCCAGGTCGGGTCACATGATCTGACGCAAGCTCGACAGGCCCCGGGTTCGATTCCCGGCCGACGCAGAGTTGATTTTCTTTTTGGTCCTTTTGGCTGTTTTTCTGGCTTTTTTTAGTGTTGTTAATTTGAGTCACCATCTCTTCGAGGTACCGACCACTTCAATGGTGGAAGTTGTGTAGGATGTTCATCAATAGTAAGTGCGGGACGGATTCTCACACGGATCAAGCTCACGTGCGGGGAAGCGGGGATCTAGTCATCCAGTCTGGACACTGCTTCACCCAGAAACATGAACATAGAAAAGTGCTTGCGTATTGGCAGGTCAAGGAATAGCTTCATTTATACGCCGTCATGAAAATCCGAGTAAGTCGTTACTCTCAAGCATGGAACGTAGTGTCCAATGTGTTACTGACAAACAGATACCATCCTTCGCTGGGTTGTTGTTTTTCGACCAATGGGGTGCGCCCAACCAACAACATCCCGAGGACGCGCTCTCCGGCATCACACGGGACGACTCTGTGCGCCACGACTTTTTGAGGCCCGCTGTTTCATACCGTCCCCGTCTGCGCTACTGGATCCCAGATGCCTGCGTTGACCTCGACCAGGTTTACGACGACATTTCGCAGGCTGGCTTGCGCGGTGCAGCCGGCGTTGAGCTGCTTGGTTTTTACCTCTACGGCGCGTCGCGGGGTACCTATGTCCCCACTGACTGGAACAAATACGGCTGGGGGACACCTGCCTGGAGTATATTTTAAGAGACTTCCCATGCCCATCGGCGTGCTAGCTGCTGACTCCTGATAGAAAATGTCCTTGACACAGCCATTCAAGCACACGACGACCATGGACTCTTAATGGATTTTGCCATGGGTCCGAACCAAGGCCAAGGCGTACCGGCACACGAGAACGATACCGGTCTCATGTGGGATCTAGTGCCACACTATGTCATCGTGGCCGCCGGCGGCTCATTCCACGGCACTGTGCCCGGCTGGGGGGCAGGCGTGCTGCAGGCAGTCGTCACGGGGCTGATCACCAACACGACGACTGTTTTGGATAGTGCGTCTTTCTCCGCGGATGGGCATACTCAGCCGGTTATCACGCAGCACACGCTGGCGGAGCGCAGTCTCGAAGATATGACGCCGCAGGTCGGCAAAAATGGATGGCTTGATGTCGACTTTACGCCCTCCGGCCCGGCCGACATGAGTCAGCAGCAACACCTCGTATATGCAGTATATCTCATCCGTTCTGGCGCACGCGCCCAACACCCACCGACCGTCGTGGCTGGGCCGCAGACAACACCAACTGACTATGTCCATAACGGGTCGTGGACAGTGGACCACTTCTCGGCGCGCGGTGCCCGCGTCATGACCGACTTTTGGGAGAAGCACCTACTGATCAACGGTACACGCGAGCGGTTGCGGCAGGTGACACGGTGTGCATGGGAGGACAGCATCGAGATCAACCCGAATGTCTATTGGACGCCGAAGCTGCCGACGGCGTTTGCGCAGCGTTGGGGATACTCCATAAACAAGTACTATCCCCTACTCTTTCACGAAAACAGTCTCCTCGACCACTTTAGCGTTTGGTTTGTCACCGACGAGCCAGATGCTGGGCACAGCCATGTCGCTGATTACCGGACAATAGTTAGTGTCTTACTCTCCCTCGTGCGTGTTCCATGCCGAAGGATCCTGTTTGTTCTGACGGAAGTAGCTCACCGAAGGGTACGGAGAGTACCTCGAGGCGCTCCGCACCTGGTCCAGGACGTACTTGAACGTCGACTGGTCTTCTCAAATTGGCTATAACATGGCCGTCGACATGGTACGATACGCCCATCGCAACACCCAGTACCCAGCCCGGTAACAAGAGGAGACTAACTCTCCCAGCAATCATTGATTGGAAAAGCAGACATACCCGAGTGCGAAGATCTCGCATTTGGAAGCAACATTGACGCCTACCGCCAGTTTTCTTCCCCTGCGTACATGTCGGGGAAGAAGATTATATCAGCCGAAGTCGGAGCTGTGCTGGGCCAGGCATACCAGATGACTATGCCGCAGTTGCTGCAACTTATCCATCGGTTGCTTGCAGGTGGCGTCAATGCTGTGGTGCTACACGGCTATCCGTACTCAGGAGAGGCATGTTAAGATCTCTCCAACACCCCGCATCAAGAATTATTTGGTTGACAGGCATTAGCTAATGATTTTTCAGTATCCAAACACAACGTGGCCCGGCTATGCCGCCTTTACGTACGCTTGGTCTGACATGCTCGGCCGCCACCAACCAGCTTGGGACTTCATCCGTGATCACTTTGACTACCTGTCGCGTGCCATGTACATATTGCAGCAGGGTGCCAGCAAGATGGACGTGGCCTTTTACCAGAAGCGCACGACCTACGCGCGGCCTGTAACTGGCTATGAGCCTGAAGATCTCCTCAAGGCGGGATACACATATGGCTACCTTGATCCGGAGACACTACAGGGTCGAGATACTGTGGTGCAAAAAGGTGTTCTGGCTCCCATGAAGCAGGCATATAAGGCACTGATCGTCCGCGGGAGTGACGTATTAACTGTACAAGGCGCCGACATGCTCGCCAAACACGCCCGCTCGGGTCTACGCGTCGTCTTCGCCGGTGAAATCCCGTCATATCTCGGCGGACATCATGACCCAGCCGGACACGCTTATGTCAATCACACGTTGAGGGCACTGCGGCACCTCGACAATGTACACCATGTGCCACGTGAAGATGGCTTGAGCGAAGTGATGGAATCACTCGGCATTATGCCGCGCACCCGGATTCGTGCGTCGGCATTCACAACAAAGTGGTGGCCTATATGGCGAGAGACGGCCGATGGGCACGCACAGTACGCTTTCATCTACCACGATGGCGAAGAGAATAGCGCCGGCACAATCGAGTTCCAATCGACCGGCCGGCCGTATCGCTATGATGCCTGGAGTGGTGCCATCACGCCCATGGGTATCTATAGCCGACAAGGAAGTACTATCACCATTCATCTTACTCTTGGCCCACATCAAGCAGTCTTATTCGGGTTTCACAGCGACGAACAGCACGCATTCCACGCAACGGCCACTTCAGCCGGTGTCTTAGACGTGCGACAGGTGACAGGCGGGCTGCGTGCGATCGTAGGTTCATCTACGTCTGGACATTCTGAGTGGATACGCACGTCCGATGGTGTCATCCACAACGTGCCCGCCGTGTCGGTCGCGCCTTTTTCCCTCGACAACTGGACACTTGTCGTAGAACATTGGGACCCTCCCACGCCGCTGGCCAATGTTTCTGCTGATGCGTCGCGCTGGAACTCGACACACCATCTCGAAAGCCTCGTGTCCTGGCAGCATATCCCCGGTCTGGAGCACGTCTCAGGACGAGGATACTACGAGACCACGTTTCAGTGGCCTCCCGCCAATAGTACAGAGCGGTATTCAAGCGGTGCTTTTCTGTCGCTGGGCATAGTGATTCATACTATGACGGTATCCGTCAACGGTCATGCCCTTGCACCATTCGACATACTGACACACGCGCGGTTAGACATTACTTCTTACCTGGTGGCCGGTGAACGCAACACGGTTCGCGTGGTTGTATCAACCACATTAGCCAACCGCCTGTCTGTCATCTGGGACTCGCTGCGCACCAGCGGAGCCCCGCCCACAGGCCTATTTGGCTCGGACACGAAGCCCCCAGGGAACGCTGAGTACGGTCTTGTGGGTCCGGTCACTGTGATTACGTACCGGAAAGTCGACCTGGCAGAGGACGATGTGACCAAGCAACCGAGTGCGTGAAAGGCAAGCTCAGTTATGATAGCATTTTCATGCAATGTATAAAGTTACTGGCTATGTGACGATGTGTGGTGAAGGTCTGCTCGTCTGGAGTAGTATCATTCCAAGACCGTCTTTGGGGAGTCAGATTCGTTCATGAGATATACTCTCTTGATTCTCGTGATAGCTTTTACCGGGCACAGTAGCCAAAAACGCGTGCGCTCGATAACGACAGCTTACCTTTATGGGATGGTTGCCAGCGGTATCATATTCAGCATCACCGGATCCCGGAAGATATGCTTTGCGTGTGTGCTCGGGCCGATCTCAAACAAGTACCGATTTCGCACCATGGCCACATGAGCGCCAGACGCCGTCTGACCGCTGTGGGTCCGAAAGTGATATTGTGTCATAGAATGGGGTGGAGTCCTGATTGTCCGTAGACGCAATCATTCAAATTGTTTTTAATTCTGAAACGGGAACCTACATAAAATTTCAATTTGATTGCGTAATTTTGAGATTTCAACTTTTAATTCGGATCAAGAAAAAAATACAATATGACATAAAAAGAGAAGCGCATATGTGAAATATATTCCTTTTCTTTTTTTAAAAAAAACGCCAGGTAACATGATTCCCAACAAGAATGTAAAATTACAACACAATTGGACAGCTCGCAGTGTCTCAATGAACGCTTTTTGATATATGTAGTTGGCAAAATTAAACAAAATATGTCAGAAAATTACTTCAGTCATAGAAAAACACGTTTGCGAGTGGGAATAGGAAGTATATGATTGTGCGTTTGTGAGTAGTCGTGTATGTAAAGGAGAACACACTGTTGTAGCCGCCGTATTTGGCGGCCTTCCTAATCGGAAATATGGGGCTGTACGAACGTATCTGGTTACTAAATTGGACCAGTCCTCGCAACTTTTGACGACCACATATAAATACAGCCCTTCTTTTCCGATGTCTCTCTCTTGTACTCTTCACTTCTTTCCCTCTCTTCATTTTCTTCTTCTCGCCGGCATTTTGTAGCAGTGCTTTGATTCTTTTCGTAGGCTCTGTCGCGTGTTAGTGGGTTTGTTGCTGGTGGTGAAACGGTTTGAGGACCCGAGGATTAGTTTGGTGTTACGATTACGGCCTTTACGAGTTTTAAAAGAAGGACTTGAGGCGGTTAGGAACGGTAGGATACGTGGTTAGTACATTAGTATGGATAGTATATAAATATGGATGGTATATTGAAATGGGGTGGGATGCCGTGCCATGCATCTCAACACTCACCTACGACATGGCGAAGCAGATCCATGGCCAAGGCCAGAGCAACCTGCCATTTTCTGCAGGGTGAAATCACTCGTGGATGGAGGGACTCGATGGCTGTTGGCAGAAATTCCGAACGGAAGCTGCTGTCAACTTACCCCTCTCTTTTTCGATGTGAACGTGTTTACATTTCTATTATCTTCCCCTTTCCTTCATTACCATCTATCTTATTTTACGCATGGACTTCTGACCAGAAGCTCACCCCGTCACATGACAGGGCGGCTTACCTGATCTTAAGTCTTACATAATGGCCTGGGCCTCCCGCCCAGACTCAATACCATCCATTCTGATGAGCTAGCCATGCTGGCGTGCTGGTCACGTACTCTGACGTTTCTGACCGCACTGGGTCCTACTTCCAGGCCTCGTGGGGCCATAATCATAACAAGCAAGATTTCGAGTTTGAACGAATCGGACATAGCAGCTCAGATTATTTAATGGTGGAAATCAGAAAGGTAGCCGAGCTCCCGAGGTCGCAACAACTGTCTCTCGCTTCAAGTGGGGCCCCGGATTGAAGTGGACATCGGCTGTAATAGATCAACATGATATACAACATATTTGTGCGACAGCCAAGCGAATAGCTGCATTTGGATCTGTTCATTCGCCGAGTGCTGGGAAAATGCAATTCCTTCTCCTAATAATGTCGCTACTGCGAAGTCTCGAGTCCTGCTCCGTTGTAGTAACCAAACTCTAGCAATAAGCTATGAACTATCCTGCTTCGTATATTCTAAATTTTACGCGAAATGACTCCTTATTTAACCGAGAGTAAGAAGCACAGTTGCCTTTCTCTCTAGCTTAATACGCACACGAACCTCAGCGCATGTCAGCCACACATACTTGGTATTGATTCAACGCGCCGAGTTGCGTTCTGCCAAAGAAATACAACAACCATCTTCTCGACAATGCCATTCGTCAAACTCACCGCCCGAAAGATGGCACCCTACGCAAAAGAGCGGCATGTTGCGGAATTAGCTGTCTTGAGAGCAGCGTTGGTGACAAAACGTATGCAATTTACCGTGAACGAAATCTCAAAATATGACAATTCGCCTGTCACCATTGCCGACTTCGCAGCGCAAGCACTTCTGATCAAAGCGCTCCACGACAGCTTTCCGGACGATAAGTTTTTGGGAGAGGAAAACGCAGCTGTTTTACGAAGCGATGAAGCTCTTAGCAGGGAGATCTACGACTTGGTGCTGTCGGCAGCGGACATTGCAGATCTATCCACCGGAGAAGCAGTGACACTGCCAAAGCCACAATCGGTCGAAGAGATGTGGGATTTGATCGACCTCGGCGGATGCGGAGTTGGAAGCAAGTCTGAGCGATTTTGGGTCATGGACCCTGTTGATGGGACAGCGGCCTTTTTGAAGGGCCAACAATACGCTGTTTCTTTGGCTCTGATCGAAAACGGAAAGGAAGTCGTTGGCGTACTGGGTTGTCCGAACATCAGCGCAGAAATGAGCCAAATTTCCGAGGCAAATGTTGACACGGATGGTTTAGGCATTATGCTCACCGCTGTCCGAAGCTGTGGCGCGACCATTCGGACAATGACGCCCAGCGGGCTGAGGGACGCCATTCCTCTAGACATTTTGACTGCTTCCAGCTTACAGAGGCTACATATCGTGGACTGCGCCGCAGCCACGACCCATCGGCATGATGTAATTGCTCAACTAGCCGACATTTTCCAGGTGGAGTTTCCCTGCACGGAAGTCTGGTCTTCGCATATTCGGTATGCAGCTCTCATAGTTGGCGGTGGCGACGTGCAATTTCTCGTGCCCACCAGTCCCGCAACCAAGATGTATATTTGGGACCACGCGGGTGCCCAGCTGATTTTCACGGAGCTTGGTGGCAAAGTAACGGACCTGGACGGGAAGGAGATGGATTTCGGAGCAGGGAGGGATCTCAGCAAGAATAGAGGTCTCATTGCCGCCAAGAGAGACATCCACCATACCATGCTTACGGAGATGACGCGAATTTTAGAGGAGGCACAAGGGTGAGAATAGTTCCCGTCTTTATTACTTGTTACATAAAAGGGGGAGGAATGTGATAATTCTGATAGCAAAAGTATTTCAACGTTACTCTTCGTTTTTGACTCCTTTGTGCTTCTCCATGCAGCTTAACAAACGATGCGAAAAAAGCCCCTCTGCTGATGGGATTGTTGATCTGTCGGAGTCGGTCCGCCGCCCATGTCGTCTTCTCTTCATCGAAGCTCTCGACGCCATAATAAAACAGCGGCCGAAGGTATCCCGGGTTGAGCCCCTCCTTCTTGTTCAAGACATTCCAGCCACCATCAACAATATCCCGTATATCGTCCATGGCTTGCTTGGCTTTGGGTGATGCAAACAGGGGATCACCAAGAATACGCCCGATGACAACAAACTCGACAAAGTAGCTCGCTAGGCAAACCCCAATGCACGCAACAAGGGGTTGTGCAATCCTGGACGAAAAGTTTCGAGTTATATCGGCAGATTGTAGTCGCAACAAGCTGGGTCGCACATCCCACAGGGAATGCAGGTCTGCTGTCAAACCGGACAGTATTTCTGCTGCTTCTGCCTGGTCTGTGGGAGTGAATCGCGATCTATGGTAGTGAGTTACGTCCGCAACCCGGTTGGAGATTCCCTGGAGTTTCGAGTAAAATTCGAAAACAGGTGCACTGACGCTGACGTATAAAGCGTCTTCGGGAGACATCTTGTCCAGCGCTGGAATATTAGGCACAATGACATTGTCAGATAAAAGATCGAAAATCGGCTCGGGTAACAGTTGTTTACAACCTCCACGCTTGGAAGCCGTATCTAGAAACTGTAACCAGGTACCAATTCGCAAGGATATCGACGATTGGTGGTCTTCTAGCAGCCAAGCCTCTAGTCTTGTCGTGAAATCACCGCGTAATATAGAGACGGTAGGACCATCCTCGTTAGGAAGGGTGAGCTTAAACAAGCAAAGTAGGAAAGCAATAATTAGGATGACATCAAAATCAACCTGGTTGTTGCCGCATGCAGACGGAAAAATGACAAGAACGGTATTGTAGGTAGACATTGCGTATGTGGTAGGTAACCGATGCGTCAAGGCCCTGTACAAAGACTCGACGGCATCGATGGACATACCCACAAGAACCTCCCTTTTACCCAGTTCGGCGATATGAGTTTTGATGGTTGCCCAGTTCATTGTGTCAAAAGGTGAAACAAAAGGGCAGTCCACTTCTTCAATGAAGTAGGAAAATGAAGATTCTGTGGGTCTTGCGGTAGCTGCAGCCTTGTCCACGTCCACAGTCAAGCAGATCAGGTGTGAAGTCTTTCCGTGAAGAGAAGAGAGAGAATCTGTGGGTGAATCTGCCAAATCTCTACTTCCGAGGCAGGAATCGTAAACACCTTGGTAATCGGTAGCGCAGGTCTCAACAGAACCTGAAACACTGTTGTTTTGCTGCATATGTGGTTGAATGCTGGTCCAGATATCCGGCTGATGCACAGGGGACGGGACGACGGCAGGTTGAACGTCTGACTGCAGTTCGCCCGGATTTTGTAGATCATGGGACTGCATCGCCTCACCGGGGATGATAGTTTCCGAAGGTGAAAGAAAGTCGAATGGGTTCCGGATCAAAGAATGCTGCCCGTGGGCAGGTGATTCTTCTTCCTGCTCCGTGTCTGGGGCAGGAACAAGAGGCTCCGAGCCTGTGCCGTTAAGGTCTTGTGGGTGGTCCGTGTCTCTTTGGTTGTTCACCGTAGTTGAGCGTGAAAGCCATTTCCGCGCAGCTGGCGGTTTGTAGATGCAAGTCCTTCTAGACTTGATACAGTTGTCGCAGCTTGGCCGTTGCTCGCCGCATTTCACTTTTCTGGTTCTGCAAACGAGGCAACCAGTACGAACGCGATAATGCCTTTTATTTGGTCCAGAAACGCCGTTTTTGTGCCGTAGATTTGAGGTTCTTTCATTTTCGCCGGGAAGGATAGTCGGACCCAAAGCCACCATGGACTTCGCATGTGACGAAGAATCCGCAGGCGCCGAAGAATGTGATGGCGTTGTTTCGTCCATGGCCGTTGAGGAGCTCATCAGCGGTGCAGTGCCCAGGGGGTAATGATGGCGGTATTTGAATCGATGAAGGTTTTAGATTTAGCTGTAGTTGTCGTGACACCAGTACCCATTTTTGTATTTGGGGGTAGAGGTGAGCATTGGATAGGTAAAGATGCTGGCCGAAATAGACACTCGCGGGCCCCTTTAACGACATCCGGGGCTTAAAAACTAGCGTTAAAACGAATAGGGTGCAGTGCAGCATATAAACTAGGCTTATTTCCGAAGAAGAGGGCCGTGAGGAGGGGAATCTGGATTCATGGCTCGACATTTTATTGGGCCCTAGCGGGTATCCTTTTTACAAACAAATTAGCAGTGTTTTGGGGGTCTATGGGCCTTCCCTCCTACCCAGATGCAGGTTCTCACGTAGCTTTTAGGGGGTTATGTAAGCCTAGCCCGCCAGCCAACGCTGGCGCCTCTGTTTTCCTCCCTCTTCCATTGTTTCTCGAGTACTACGCATTCTCCCACATCATATATCAATCCGCTGTTTTTGACAACTTCCATTCTTAAAAAGGAATGGTGGTGTATTAACGTTTATAATCGAAATCTCTTGCAGCCTCCAGGAAAATCTCTCTCATGTGTGCCCTCTACTTATATCCTTTATCAACGAACCTGATCCATAATCCTCGCCATCTGTGCGACATCATCACTAATTATATGATCTAACCATCCTTCACGGACCCAACTGACGACCTGGGCCTCCACATCTATGCCGTAGGTCTTGAGGCTTTCGAGTAGCTCAGGGCGTGGAACATGTAAGAATACCGCAATTCCATCCTTATGGAGCTGGTGGGCTTCGCCACTTGCGAAATGCTGGATCTCCAGATTCATTGCATCCATGTTGGCTTCCAGTGCAACGGCACCTGGTTCAATTAGTCGGGAATGTGACAGGCCGACTGTAGGAACTTCGGGAATGGCCTCCTTTACAGCTTTGAGCTGAACGAAGTCGAAGGAGGAGAACTGCAATCGATGTGAACAGTTCAATTCGTCAATCATTTCCCTCAGCTTCGAGAAGATGATGTTGTTCTGATCGTAAATCTTGAGCTCGAGTTGGTAGATAATATCAAGTTCTTCCGCCAGATCTAACGCTTCTCTTAACCGAGGAATTCGCTCGCCCGCAAATGCCTCGTCAAACCAGCTACCGGCGTCAAGCTGAGCGATTTCTGAATAGGTCATGTTCCTGACCAGGCCGCGACCGTTGGTTGTTCGGTCTACCGTCTTGTCGTGGATCAGGACCATCTCCCCGTCTTTGGTCAGTGCGAGATCGGTCTCGCAAGTGACACCCTTACCGCCTACGTCGCGTGCCATGCGGAAAGCCGCCAGAGTGTTCTCTGGGGCGGCGGTGCTGTAGCCACGATGCCCAGCGATCCGAGCCGTCTGCGGTGTCATTCTAAGCCGGTTCATCTTTTCTGTTTCCGGTCTGCAATTGGTTGTAAGGGTAAAACGGGGTTGAATTGTAGGGAAAGAATGGAAGCTTTGATGGGGATGCGATAACAATGATTACTCTGAACATAACAGGTCTACACCGTATGACCAAAGCATCAATATATCAGTGGATTTGTGTGAAGTCGTAAACAATGACTGCAGACTTTGTGACTGCTTGCTCTGTTCAGTTTCATCGAACTTAAGGCACTTGTGCCTTAAACCTTCTGTGCTTGCTTCTCGCTTGTAGTGGGTCTTGTCGGCAAATCCTGGCACGCTTTGGTTTAGCACGCCCTTACGTCGTTCGCCTTGAATCACGGTGAGTCGGCACAAGTGGAGACTCTTCGGAAGCAGCGATCCCCGTCATTGGCCAGTCAATTAGTGCTGACAGCCCACGTTCAAATGGTACAACTTGTTAATTATATGCGGCAGTGAATATTTGCAACTGGTGTTGCGAGGCGAAATCTAAACACGTGGATTGTGGCACAAGGAAAGGTTGACATAAAATATGTGCTGAACAGAGATTTGGATGCGATCGGGGAATTATATATTTATATTCCTCCCAGGATATTTACAAAAGACCAACTTGCGACGACAAGCAATTTCTCTCAAGGCTACCATTTTAAAGATCTTCATTTCTGACTCGCGGCATCGAGTATGGATTCGTCCAAAGAGTCAAAGCAAGCGGCGGAAGTCCAGGCCTCCCAAACAGAGTTTCTGACCGACGCTGCTGAGGCCAATGTGTGGGAGCATGAAATGACCATTATGCAAGCTGCCAAACTCTTCCCAAAGGCTGTCGCCTGGAGTCTAGCACTGTCTGCCACTTGTGTTATGGACGGCTATAACTTCCACACCACGTCAAACGCTTATTCTCAGCCAGCATTCCAAAAGGCATATGGCACGCTTCAGGCGAACGGCAAATACGCAATTTCTGCCGCGTGGCAATCGGGACTCAACAATATCTCAACCATAGGAGTGCTGGTCGGCCTATATTTCGCCGGCTTCCTCTCCGATCGGTATGGCTTCCGCAAGACTCTAATGATCGCCATGGTTTCCATTCCCCCACTCGTTTTTATGCAGTTCTTCGCGCCAAATCTTGCAGTACTTATAATTGCGCAGCTGTTAATGTGTAAGTTTCTTTCGACTGATTATTGGCGGCCGATTCGACTATTTGTTGACGTCTTGCGTCTCGCATTGAAAATATAGCCATCCCGCTCGGTGTGTTGGAGACCACCACACTCGCATATGCTGCCGAGGTTGCACCAATGTGTCTGAGGCCATTCTTGACGAGCTTTGTGAGCCAGATGTGGGTAAGTCATGCCAACACTTGCTCTACTTCCTCTCCGTTTTTGGTTTTGAAGGACTGATCTGACACACTGGCAGGTTGTCGGACAAACCTTATGTACCGTCGTGTATCGCGCTTGTCTAGATGCGGAGGCTCCCTGGGCATATCGCATTCCCTACGCTATCCAGTAGGTTTTCAATACTTCACCATTATAACACAGACGCAGAAACACTGACTGGCATTAAACAGATGGCTTTGGCCTATCCCTGCAGTAGTCGCGTTGCTCTTTGCGCCAGAATCGCCTTGGTGGTTTGTACGCCACCATCGACTCGACGAAGCAAAGAAATCTCTGGCGCGACTCTCATCTGCAGAAGCTGCCAACTTCAACATCGACAAGACTGTGGCTCTGATGGTTCTAACAACGGAACATGAACGCATAATCAACTCTAGTACTACGTGGATGGCCTGTTTCAAAGGGCCCGATCTTCGTCGCACTATCCTTGTCATCGCCTTGTACTGTTCGCAAATTATTGGTGGTTCGACGCTGCGCTCCTATGCAACCTACTTTTTTGAACAAGCTGGTTTGGCCGACGACTGGTCCTACAACATGTCCATCATCGTCTACATGCTCAGTCTGGCGGGAACTATTGTGTTGGTAGGTTTTCTTTATAAGCCATCACCACTAGACGCTGGAAATATTTTTTACTAACGTAAGCTCATCATGATACAGTGGTTTGTATTGCCTTACGTTGGTCGGCGAACACTTTTTATCTGGAGTCTGGCTGTGCTCACGGTTATTTATATTGTCATGGGTGGACTTGGGATTCCGCAAGGTGCAAGTAAGAGCTCCTTGTCATGGGGTATCGCAGCTCTTCTCGTCGTCAACGGCTTTATCTGTTATGTCGGTGTCATCCCGATCGTCTTCATCCTTGGCACAGAAATCCCTTCTGCTCTACTGAGAAGCAAGACGCTCGCCATTGGTCGCATCATTTATTCAATCATCAACACTCCTATGAGCATTCTGGGCACATACCAGGTTAGCTCGACAGCCTGGAACTGGGGGGCAAAATCTTCCTTCTTCTGGGGCGGACTCTGTTTCCTGGGCTTGGTGTGCTCTTACTGGTCTATCCCCGAGACCAAGGATAGAACTTTCACGGAGATCGATCAGCTATTTGAGAAAAGGGTTTCAGCTAGAAGATTCCAAGAAACGAAGTTCGAGGCGGCGGGAGTTACTTTGGAAGCCGAGAAAGGCACTGGCAATTCCATTGTCTAATGGGGCCTATGGTGGAAATTGCTGGTGGCAGCCATAATTATGAAATTTGAGATTTCCTGCGAATCTAGTCACGTCTCCTTTTACCAAAAAAAAAAAAAAAAATATCGTTTTCCTTGTTGTAAGCGGTCCTGTGTTCCTCTTCGCATACTTGTCAGTGTCACACACATCTATATATGTGTAATGTCGCATAACAGAAGGGAGACCGTCACGCTCCGGGAGTACTGGTTCCCTCCCAGGACGACGCATCGAACAACAAGAAATAAATGCCCCGCAATCTGCACATAATGTGGTCACACTTTCTTCTCACTCTATTACTGCGGAGCAAAAATAAACCCCAGCTGGTCCATCTCGTCGTCGCTCTGTCCTAGATAGCCTACAATTTGCCATCCGGAAGGTGCCGTGAAAGTAGTACAGTCACTGGTCGAAGTGCCCGCAGTGAGGGTCCTGCCAGCACTCGTGGTCGCCTTGATGTAAAAATTGCGCGTGTGGTTGTCCTTTTGGCCTTGACAGAGTTCGGCGCTTGTCCAGAACTCAGAGGCACCGAGGGACAGCTGCACCTGCGTGCCGCCAGCCCCGCCATGCACAAACGAGGTTCCGTCTGTGAGTGTCAGCCCAACCGAGTCCAGGCGGGACGCGCCACGGAACGTGAGAAGCGACGCTTTCGGCGACGCTTTGCTGCTGAGCGTTGCCAAGTCAGAGAACCAGTTGCCGTGCGGCCCGCCCCAGAAGTCAGACTGGCGAAGCGTGCTGGAGAGCTTCCAATTGAAATCCACCGTGATGGGGTTGTGATCAGAGAGAATGTCGCCGTTTGACTGCACAAATTTGGTGCTTTCGTAGTTAAAGTACGAAGCTGACAGCTGCACAACGGCGCTGCCCCGGTAGAAGACCTTGTCCACAGTCTCGCAGTTGTTGGTGGTACTGGGGTTGTCGCACAGGCTCTCCACTGTGGGCACGACACCGCCGCGCTCCAGCTGCAACCATGCATCGTTGAGGCCATTTTGGCTGATAAAAATGCCAATGTTGTCAGCAGTGCGAGTGTAGCGGCTGTTGGTGTCGCCAAATACAATTACCGCGTTGCCAACACTCCACGTGTCGATGTACGAGGCCACTTGAGCTAGATTGGAGTTTCGCGCGGTCTCATCGGCCGTTTCAGTACCTGCATCGGTATGGACGTTGTACATGTCAATGTACACACCACTGTCGACAACGGTGCGCATGAATGTAAAGCCCTTCGGAGTGAGACAGTCGGAGCCAGACGCATCCGAACAGTCGTTCCATCCGATGCGAGTGAAGTCAATCCAGTTGAAATTCGCCAGCGTGTTCAGCCCAGATCCAATGCCTGCACCACCGGACGTTGCAGTGCGGTACGTGTGGTTGTCTGTGGCATAGATATACGCATGATAATTGAAGTCCTGACCGGCCGCGTTAACAGGAGAACGGGAGTATGAAACAGAGCTGGATCAGCAAGCAAGCACGCACCTCCTGGACGTTGATGACATCATAACCGTACTTGGCAAAATCCGAACCAATGGTGCCGGCATTGGTCGCCTTATCACCGGGGACATCGTTGCTTTGGAGAATCGCAGGCAGGCCGGCAACATTCATGGACAGGATGCTGAAGGATCCACCAGTGGCTGCGGCCGCAAGCTTGACGCCGCCAAAAATGACGAGTGGCACAGCTGAAGCAGAAAGTGAAAACATGATGAATGCAGTATCGCAGGGCAGTGTATGGCAGATCGAGGGCGTGCAAAGTCTGTCCAAGATCATTTACGGCATCGAGTGCCTATGGTACGCGGATAAAGGGCTTCTATTATGTACATCGAAGCTCACGATGCACGTGCGTCGTCGTCATCCCGGCGACTTGACTTACCTGGTTGGGATGTCATTTGCCAAGTCGGTAGTCGAAAAAAGAAGGGAAAGCGAAAATAAGGACGCCGACGTCCCTGCGGCCGGCATTGTTCTCGGGTGTTGTGGAGGCATTTCACGCATTGAACCGTGAATCTTGACACCGCACGTGTAAAAATGATTGACATTGCATGGGTCTGGCGTGCGTTGTGGTGATCTTGTGCATTGATCATCTTACAAGGCAGCATTTCTTCAATTCCGGTGCAACACGGCGCGGCCTTTTAGCTAGCTGGGGGAAGGTCCCGGCTTGGCATCCTGCATCTCACATGTGGTGGCCTGACCTGTGGTGTTCTAAGGCCAATGGTAGCGACACGAGGCCTTGGGTGTTCGGTGCAATACAACGCACATAGTCAGTAGCCAGGAAGCCGGGGTTCTCTTACAGCGTCGGCACACAATGTCATTGACCCCGTGATGGCTTGTTGCTGAATATATGTATTGCTAAGAAAGCGACGTGAAGTACCCATAGTTTGTATCTTAGAAAGCAAACTCCCTGCAGCTTGCGTTTGCAATGAATTCCAAGGTCTTCATTGCAGCCCGGTTGCAGGTAGATATGTTGCCCAACTAAAGTAGTCGCAGGGCATAATTCAAATCAAATACAACGACCTTCGCTCAGACACGAAATAATAACAAGTAGATGCTCTCAATGCTTGTATTTCGATTTGAATTTTGCTATTTGTTGCCAATACAAATCCACATCAGCTATTCACGCCAACTGAATCCCGCCAACGGACGCTAGACTATGGTGGTTTACACCAATGTCCAGTAGCAGCAGAACCGCGTAGTGTAATTACGGAGTAGTCGTACTCCGTTCCGAGCATTGCATTCCCTTGACAGGAGGCAAGTACATTTCCTCACCTTCCTGTCCACCCGCTATTTATGCGTAATTCCCGTCTTGTATTCGCTAGAGTTTACGTATCGACAGGCGCCGAGGGCGCCCCTGTCATATATTCCTTCAGAGTATGCGCCCTTTTGCCGGACATTCTCCGCGGGCGACCTTTTTTACGCGTGATAAAGAACCGAATCCGCCATAATTTGTGCCACATCCGTAAACTGCCCGCCAGTTCTTCTTACAAGGGGTGGAGGGAGAAATCAAAACGAGAGAAAAAGAGGGACAATGACAAAAGGAGCATGGGAAATCTCCTTCTCCCTATAAAGACAAGTTCCCCAGGTCTTGACAATCACTAGAGCTGCTTTCATATGACGGCGATTTCTTAGTTTACGTTACGCCGCGATGGTTGAGAGCGGGGTGACAGGGGATAGCAGTGAGCGACACAGGCCATCCTGGCAACAATCCACCAGCCCAGCGCATTGCCCTTCCAGACGTTTGATCGGCTTCTTTTCCTCGCCCAGGGCGGCCGCACAGTATACTTTGGTGATATTGGGCCACAGTCCACGATTCTGTGTGAATACTTCGTACGCTGTGGTGCCCGGCCGTGTGGTGATGGTGAGAACCCCGCTGAGTACATCCTCTCCATGGTCTCTGGTGACAGTGCAGAGGGCATTGATTTTGTCGAGTGCTGGAACAACAGCCCCGAGCACACAGAGGTGCTGGCCGAGCTAGGCCGTCTGTACCGGCTCGCTGACAGGCCCGACGACGGTGAAAACTTGGCGCAGAAGAACTTAGAGGGCGAGTTTGCACAGCCGTTCTGTGTTCAATTCCGGCACGTTATCGTGCGTGCCTTCCAGCAGTACTACCGCCAGCCCGACTATATTACTCCAAGTTCCTGCTGGGTGTTTGTTGTGACGAGTCTTTTCATTGGTTTCTCCTTTTGGAAAACCAACTTCTCCATGTAGGGCTTCCAAAACTCACTCTTCAGTATCTTCTTGCTCTGTACAATCTTCTCGACTCTCGTCAACCAGATAATGCCAAAATTCGTCGTGCAGAGGTCTCTGTACGAGGTCCGCGAGACGCCGTCCCGGGTCTATTCTTGGCAAGTGTTTGTGCTGTCCCACATCGTCGTTGAGATCCCGTGGCAGATCCTGGTTGGTGTTTGCTGCTATGCATCGTTCTACTATCCCGTTTTCGGTGTCAATACCCCGTCTGGGAGCAAGGGCCTAGTGTTGCTATTCGTCGTCCAGTTTTACGTCTACGCCGCCAGCATGGCCCAGATGGTCATCGCCTCCAATAACGATCCGCTCCTGGGTGCCATTCTCGCCATATTCATGTTCGCTTTGTCTTTTATCTTCAGCGGCGTTCTACAGCCGCCTTCGGCTCTTCCAGGCTTCTGGATCTTCATGTACAACGTGTCGCCATTTACCTACTACGTTGGTGGTATCAGCGGCACTGCACTCCGTGGCCGACAAGTCATTTGTTCACAGGCAGAGCTCAGCGTGTTCAACCCGCCAACAGATTACACTTGTGGCCAGTACATGGGCCCTTACCTGCAGGTGGCTCCTGGAAAGCTCAATAACCCTGATGTTATGTCCGGTTGTGAGTACTGTTCTATATCCTACGCCGACCAAAATCTGTCCGCACGTGAGATATCCTACTGACAGCGCTGGCGCAATTATGGTATCTTTGGGCCTATTTTGCATTTAACGTAATTGGCACCTTTGCAACCTTTTATATATTCCGTGTTAAGAACTGGCAAAAACAGGGGGATTCAAGGGCTTCATGTCCAGTAAGAAAACGAAGCATACCAAGGCAGTGCGAAACAGCGAAAAAGTCGAGAGTGACGCTCCGGTTGGGGTTACTGCGTCGACAAATGCCCCATACACTACCCAGGACGGGACTGTCGGGAACGGGGAAGCAATGTCAAGGACTAGGTAGGACTTGGAGTAGATGTCAAGGGTTATGTTGATTTCTTTGTTTAGACGTTAATTCGCTTTCTTTTCGTTGGCAATTGTTGTCACGTACAGATTTTGTAATCTCACCCCAGTCACGTTTGTGTCGTATGCATTTGTTAATCTCGTCTATGCCTCCCAAGCTGCGGCGTCGTACTCTAGCATCTTATCAGTGAACTGGCTTCCGGCTTTGACCCATCCTTTGATGCCACCCTGCAGCACCAGGCTCTGCATGTCCTTGTCGTTTTGTGCTTTGATGTGGTCCGCAAACCAGCCTCCCGCACGGCAGCCCCGGCCTCTAGATGAGCCTGTTGGTCAGTGGGTAGATACTCAATGACATTTCAGTGGGTAGAACACACATACCACAGTAAAAAATCACCTTGCGGACACCCGCTGCCTTGAACATTTGGTACACCGTAGGAATTATCGGCCATAGGCTTTGTGCAGGCAGGTTGATCGACCCTTCAATCGTACCACCCTACAAAGGACCATGAGTATGGGGATTTACAAACAGCACGTAGATCAGGACAGGACGCTCAGGACACACCTGGTGGTCATTACGACGAAGGTCCACGAGAACGAAATTCTTGCCAGCTACATGCCCCGTATCTTGCAGGAGTGACAAAACCTCATCGCGTGTGAGAAACGCAGGGTCCGCCTTGGGGTCCGGATAGGCTGCATACCAGGGAGCCGCAATATGTTTTTCCTGTGTCGTGAAAGCCATGTTGGTTAAAGTACGACGTAGTATGCGGTTCGTTGATGCTGGTTGAGGACTCTTATGAATGTATGTCGTTTGACGGACCGTGCTGTGGTGGGGCGGGCCGAAGTCTGGAGCTTGTCATTCCCCATTTTTAATTGGCCGTCTGAATCCACTTCCAAAAAACTTCACTGGGTCTACGCACTAACTGGAAAAGCAGAACTTGCCGGCCAGTCATAGATTTGGAGTGGCAATATTCTGTGGTCTTTCTGCTATCGTAGAGAGCTTTCGATTGTTAATAGTACGGGTCAACTTCCTGTTTTTTCTTCTCACAAATATCCTATTTATATTTCTTGTATTCTCGACTTACACCTTATATTTCTAATCACTTTAACTTTCAAAGTTGGAAAATTCTACGTGGACCTTTTTCTCGTATATATTTACTGTCGCCCACGAGAATAGTTATGCATACTTTACAGCACAACACATGCACGTCTGAAAGACAGACCAACAGTATTTCACGCACAATGGAGAAGAGGTCTGGCGACGACAGTGCAGAACGATGGCCCGAGCCAGCGGCCTTTGATGGCCAGCACAGGAGACCTTCACCGGCACCCGTGTCGGCGTTCAAGTCACTGGGATGGCTCGACCGTTTCCTAGCCATCTGGATATTTTTGGCCATGGTCGTCGGAATTCTGCTCGGAAACTTCGTGCCTGACGTTGACGACGTACTAGAGCAGGGGAAGTTCGTTGGCGTGTCCGTCCCCATAGCCGTTGGACTGTTGGTCATGATGTATCCAATTCTATGCAAGGTCCGGTACGAATCACTACTCACCATATTCGCGGACCGAGGCATTTGGCGCCAAATTGGCTTCAGCATTATCGTAAACTGGGTTGTGGCTCCCTTTTTCATGGTGCGTATCGGCATTGCCTTCTAGTCTATCCAATTATCTTTTCCACGCCGGGCATCGATGACGAACGCGACTAACACGCTATCTCCAGCTGGCCCTGTCCTGGGCATTCCTCCCAGACAAGAGCGAGCTTCGCTCAGGGTTGATACTTGTCGGCCTTGGACGCTGCATTGCCATGGTAAGTCTCCCCGCCGGTCGCCGCACAAACCGTGTAGACCGCGCTATTCCTGCTGACACTTGTTTTCCCCTTCCTCCAGGTCCTCGTGTGGACACAGCTTGCCGGTGGCGACTCGGAGTACTGTGCCATCTTGGTGGCTATCAATTCTGTGATGCAGATGGTCCTCTTCGCGCCCATGGCTGTCTTTTTCATCCGCATTATCGGGCACGATACAACCGGTGTGAGCATATCATACGCAGTTGTGGCTGTCAGTGTAGCCGTGTTTTTGGGCATACCACTTGGAGCAGCCATAGTGACCCGCGTGGTGCTGCGCACGTTGGCCGGCCCAGAGTGGTACGAGCGGGTGTTTTTGCGGTTCGCCTCGCCGTGGTCACTCATTGGACTGCTGTATACCATCCTGGTGCTGTTTGCCTCGCAAGGTCACGCGGTTGTGCACCAGGTAGTCAGTGTGCTGCGTATAGCGGCGCCGCTGATTGTGTATTTTGTGGTGATCTTCTCAATGACACTGTGGGTCACGTACCGCCTTGGCTTTGGCTATGCGCTGGCGACGACGCAGAGCTTCACGGCTGCCAGCAACAACTTTGAGCTGGCCATAGCCGTCGCCGTCGCCACCTTCGGTCCGAGAAGTGACCAAGCTCTCGCAGCGACGGTAGGCCCGCTTGTAGAGGTGCCAGTTTTGCTGGGTCTGGTGTACTTGGTGCGCTGGGCGGCTAAACGCTGGAGTTGGAAACAGTAACAACGGCACACAGGAGATGGCCTCAGAAGACAATAATTTAGAACAATGGTCGGAAATCATAGTGGTGAACATTTCTCCGTCGTTATGTCGCGCGGTCAATGATAGTAAACACTTGTGTCGTTTTCACTGAACAGGACCCTGTCGTGCAGCCGAGGGTCGAGCGGGCAAGACTATGGTCGCCGTGGCCATGAAGGTCAGCAACGATAGACGCTGCGACGTCACAGTCCATGAGCGTTCCTGGTGAAGCGGCACGTGACGTGGTACACTGTGACACAGCCGGTGATGCGCTCGCGGAGCTGACAGTGTTACATGGTGTTTCCTGTGGCGCAACGTAGACGGCGGGCATTTTGGCGGCTGGAATCGCTGCGGGGCCGATGCCGGATTTCCGCAGGTAGTCGTCGACCGCGTCGCCAGCCACACCGTGTTCTGCCAAAAGAGCCCGCAGACATCGGTTCTCGGCGGCCACAGTGCGTGCGGCTGACTGCATGTCAAGGGTTGCCTGGACGCCTTGGGTCTCATATTCGCGAAGGCGCTGGCGCATGTCCTCCATGAGTTCTTTCTGGCGAGCCCGTGAACGGCGTTGGTTCTCGCGAAGGAGTGACCTAACCTCGGGCGTTTTGTTGTTCTTGCGGAGTATTAGAATGTGTGTGGGTGATATTCAATGCGAGTCATCTCTCGTACGCACCTTTCTCGGCATCTTTGCAGTTTGTGGCTGTTGTATGGCGAAAAGGGGGTAGAAACGTCTCCGAAGTGATGCTTGAGTGATCAAAAGTCTAGTCTATCCAATTACGATTGACATCACTAGCACCGTTTTGACGCTATCTCCTTTTGGACACCAGCCACAACACACAGCAGTATGTCATAAAACACAGTGACTTGTTTCACACTACTCTTCGCACTGTCCTTCCCTTTAACGCTAGTGCCGACAACTTCCTTTAACGACTTACCCATTTATGGGTGAGATGCCGCACATTCACGAAAAGGCTCGTATACCGCCCGTTTAATTTTTAGTCGTGGAACGTTATATAAAAAACAACGATCAAAACATATCATCGAAAAGCTTAAAAAACGCAAATGTAAAAGATCCGAAGAGAGCTTTCTTTTCTATAAAACGAAAGCACAAAAGGGCGTATAACCTAACAAGGAGGAAAACGAGTGAATTGTGATGAACGAGTTTAAAGGAACTAAACAGGCCAGGTCGGGAGTAAAACTATAGATCCTAGGTCACATGGCCATGGTCTAACATGTATCAATTCAGGGACTTCTCTCTGCTCCATTTTGGAGCCCTCCTCTTTTCAACAGGACATCGTATTCGGTAATAATCCACCGTGATTTCAAACTCAATGTCCGAATATGATACGTAAGCACACCTTCCGTTGGTCCTCTAGTGTGGCTTTTGTGGTTATACGATTATCGCCACGAGAGGATCTCCCTTCTCTTATTTGATATTTTCTTCCTGTATGTAAACTGCCCAAGAATCTTGCACTCCTTGCTTGGACTGTCCAAACTGAGTTTATAACGTAGAGTCCTCACTCTCTAGCCCGTGTTTGAGTCTCCGGTGACGTCGATGCCACTGTCCTTTTCATCGTCTATATGGCTCTCGACATACATACAGCATAGTGCTATCTCGATATCCCAGCGCTCCTGTTCCCAAGTAGCGACCGGGGGCATCGCCGTCGCTACCGCTTTTTCCCAGTGCTCGAATGCGCCAGGTTCTCGGACCGAGGCTTCTTCTCGCTCTGCGTTGGCGCCGTACTCATTCTAGCGGAAAAACACGTAGCACACATCCTCAGCATGATGAGTGCAGTCGGCAGTAGTTGTGTGTACCTCCTGGCCATTGTCAACCCAGGCAAATGCTCTAAGAGGCTTGAACGGCGGACGATAGATATCAATGCAGCCCTAGCAGCCATTCGCTTCGACTTTCGGCGCAAGTCGAGCCCTCTTTTGCGGGGGGATTTTATTGTGGGGCCCTGTTTTTCGCCGAAAGTCTGTCCTGCGCTCGTCCACCAAGACCTTGGCGGATTCCGGCGCTCGTCTACCCCAACCCCAAACCGTTAAGGGGGGGGGGCCGTGCGCCTTTAATAAGGCCAGTCAGGCCAGTCAGGCCAGACAGGGTTAGCTAGGCCAGACAGGGCCAACCAGGCCAGCCAGGGTTAACCAGACCAAACAAGGCCAACCAAACCAGACAGGGCCAGTCAAACTAGACAGGGCTAACCAGACTAGACAGGGCCAACCAGACTAGACAGGGCCAACCAAACCAAACAAGGCCAGACAGGACTAACCAGACCAGACAGGGCCAACCAGACTAGACAGGACCAACCAGACCAGACAGGGTCAACCAAAACAGACTACCACTACAAGACAAACCGGATGAGAATTTTTTTATTAGTAGACAGGGGTCTGTCGGATTTACATGTACCCCACAAAACGGGGGGTCCATTCTAATCTGATTTAATTAAATCGGATAAGAAATACAGCGACGACGAGACGTCGTAC